AAAAACAACCTGTGGCACCGCAGCGTACGATGGCCTTGCAAACTAAGCGAAATTTGGCGCACTCAACGAACAACAAGGAAGAACCGACCTTCAAGAAGTATTTGTGAAACGGGACAAGACGGAATGGGCTGATGCGACCATATCCACGGGGGACTGGGCGTCCTTGCAACGGGCATGCCAGCCGAAACCGCAAGAGCAAGAGAGACTCTGCAACCTGGCAGGCGAAATCGTTAACAGCGCACAAGGAGTGGAGACAATGGCAGAATACTGCGCCGATCCGAAAGTTTCCCCAGTTTCGTCACCGTGTTCGCCGCGGCCATCTGGGGTGGCGCGCGCAGGATAAGACTCGCGGGGCCTGAGGGCGGACGGAGACGATGTCGCGAGGGCAGAGTCGGGTCGCCGATGGGCCCGAGGACTTGTGCCAAACTAAATTTCGGGTCCGGTTCGAACGACCCGAAAATGTGCAAGCCGCCTAAGAGTCCTTGCCAAAACATCGTTCTCGAGGTCTTCGGGCCCACTCCGAAGAAACCGAACATGGGCAAACCGCATAGCACTTCTGTGGATCCGGGCCTCGTCCGAAGGAGCCGCCGATGGGCAGACCGCTCAGGACTTCCTGTACAGGAAACGGTTTCCTGGGTGAGCCATTGTCAACGGGAGCGCGCCCCGCGCGGGATCGGGGTTCGCACGGGGGCGCGGCTGCTGTCGCCTGTCCAGAGGGCATGCATTGCCGCGCCCTTCCAGCATTGCGTTTGCGCTGCATTCGCGCGGCGCCGTACTTCTCAAATCGGAATAAACTTTCGGAGCGTCGATGTATCTGGAAAAGACACACTGGAGAGCGCACCCACGCATAGCGCTGGATCCAGACCCGCTGGGTGCTCTCATGCACGTTCCTGATGCCTTCTTAACTCACTGAATGGCGGGCACTACACTATCTCAATCCACATTGGGAAAGCACCTGGTGCGGACGAGATACCAGCGAAGTATTGAAACGCAAAGGCTAACTATCCACATCTATTGCAATGTCACACAATTGGTATTGGTAACCAAATGCTGTAATAAGGAGCGGATGCCATCAGATTGGCGACTCACCACCTGCAAGAACAAAGGCCCTGTTGATCAACGTGACCAGTATCGCCCTACAGGACTGCCGCGTGTCATGTACAAGGCTTCTGCTGGCCCGTTACTGGCAAGACAAAAAGATGCAGGCGCCGAAGACCGTCTCGCAGCAACTCAGCTTGGGCTCTGGAGGAAACAAAGCGCACTTCCGATGGAGTGCGCGCAGTGTGCTGGTACACCAGGATGTCGCACACAGATCATGACATACAACTTGCACTTCTAGCGCTGGACTGGAACAAAAGAGGCTCTGACTGTGGGCGCTCTGTTGGAGGCGCTGGAGAGAAATATTGGGTGCCAAACATCGCTCCGATGGCCTGCGGGAATCACGAAAACAGAACCACATATCTGGGATTTTCCTAGGTTTTCCTTTATACCCATGTCATCTCGTAATGGTAATGGGCGTGATCATCCAGAATGCAAAAAGGAAATTTGACAATGCTATGCTGAGCTCGTTGGCATCTCGCGACCCCGCGATCCTCCTGTACGTGGGCGACACTCTTCTGGTGGGGCGCAACGTCGATGCAGGAGGCTCTAGATGCGACCGCATCAGCAGGCAAAGAAGTTGGCATGGAACTGCACTGGAACAAGCTCCTAATTTTACAACCGAAGTGCGATGCAGCACTGCGAGGTCCAAATGGCAATGTTGCTGACCCGGTCGGAAACATTCCTGTGTTTGAGGAGCACACGCTTGCAACTCTGGGTGGCCCGAGCAAGAACTCAGCCAGCAGCTCGGGGCAGCTCGGGGTGAGTTCAGGCAATGTGCAAGGGCACGGGAACACACGTCTACCTGCACCTCAAGGAAAGCAGACTTGCTTGGAGCACCCATCACGGGCAAAATCATGTATTCATTGAATTCCGCGTGGCTGAGCAGAACAGAAAGGCCACGCCTTGATGGACCCCACGCGCGGTGTATCAGGAGTACGTTGAACACCCAGCACTCTTACACCTCGAGGGTATCGAACAGAATTGCACTGGAGAAAGCAGGCGTGCGACCTTACAACGACCAGTGGCTGAGACATCGATTTCTATCATTTGGACAAATCGGCCGTTGCAAGGATGACGACGTGTTGCGGAAGCTAACGCTCCAACCGTGGAGCGCAAAACCTCTGACGGATTCTGTCAAACGGGCGCCTGGGCGCCCCAGGCGTGAGTGGAAAAAGTGGTTGTGCAACCTGATTCGCAACAGTTACGCCACCGGCGCTGCACTGGCCGACTGTATGGCAGACGAACAAACGTGTCATCATTTTGCAACAACATTTGCGTTTGACGGCCGCGCGATGTACGGTCGGGGTGGATTGGAGAGGACACGCGAGAGGACACGAGACCCTTCCGAGGGCCACGTTGCCGTAGGAATGTAGAAGGCATGGGTCGCGAAGCACAGGACACAAGGGTATCCGGTCGACCTGCTGATCAACCCCGACTTTACACGAACCTTCTTGCCCTGGCAGTGCCTGGTTTCAGCTGCACACGCGCCGAATGGCGTGCGGCTTCTCGCTCGCGCTCGCTCCGCATCGTCCACCTTTCCTCCTCCTCCTCCTCCTCCGCCTCCTCCTCTTACTCCTCCTCCTCCTCCTCCTCCTCCTCCTCCTCCTTCTCCTCCCCATCCCCGCTCCGAAAACTCTCGCCGAGAAGCTCGCTCTGGAGGTTCTCGCTCAGGAACTTCGCCGGCTGGGGGCCTTCCGAGGCGTCCGGGCGAACGAATCTCGCAGCGTTCCGCTGGGGCGCCCTGGAGTTCCTCGAGCCGGCTGGTGCCACCGGCGCTGGGAGAGCGTCCTGCCGAGAAGGAATAGGAAGAAGAGTGGGAGGAGAGAGAAGGTCGGGGTGGGAGAAGGAAGGAGAAGGGAAATGAGAGGGAGGAGAGAGGAGGGAGAATTGGTGGTGAAGACGTAGGATGAATCGGGGGGGAAGAGAAGGAGAGGGAGAGGGACATAACATCCACATTCCGTGGCGCTCGTATAGCGCAGGGCACGCCCGAGGATCGCCCCCAGACCGCACCGCGCGTTATCTTACCACCACCACCACCAACACCACCTCCTCCTCCTCCTCCTCCTCCTCCGCCTCCTGCTCCCGAGGCACAAAGTGGGGTGTCCTCGGGTCCCTTGGAATCTCTTGTGCTGACTATTGTAGTGCTATGTGAGGGACCCACAAGACCGGCTCCCGGGCGGGCGCTTCTGGGCGCTCCCCGGGGCTTGTCACGTGTTATCGCCAACTCTTCCGGTGGCAAGGGGGGGAGCAAAACATGTTAAGAGGGCTTCGCGAGGACCATGGGAGGATCCAAGGGGGCCTCCAGGCGGCCCACGAGGGTCCCAAGATGCCCAAAATGACCTCGAGATGGCCCAAGATGTCTCCAATACGGCCCACGAGGGCTCCAAGAGGACATCCAAGAGGGCATCAAGAGGCGATTCCTCGAAGGTACTTGAAGGATGTCTGGATCTCGCCTTTTCGGGCTTCCACCACTCCAAGACGGCCCAAGAGGCTCCCAAGGTCGCCCCAAAGACAAACGGGCGCCAATATGGCCCGCAAGGCCCCCCAAGACGGCCCCAAGAGGGGGAACACAGACTGACACTTCCAGCCATATGTCCTGAATAACCCCCGAGACCCCCGACAGCAAGCCCCCCCGAAGCCCCCAAGAAGCACCAGGACGTTCCCAAGAGGCAGAAATAAGGCCCGAGAGGCCTCAAGACCCCACGGCTCCCCATCGAGCACGAAGTGGGATCAGGAAGGAGAGAAGGACAAATGCTGTACGAGTAGCAGTTGGGATCCTATTGGAATCCGATTGGGGTTATCTTGAAATCCGATTGGAACAGTATGGCAATCCAATTGACGTGCTGCGGCAACCCTGGTAATATCAGATTTGGTCCCAATGGGATCATATCGTAATCGTGATGGTGGTTGCGATTGGGGTCTCATTGGGATCAGATTAAAAAAAGTACATTGGTGGTCTGTGTTTCATGTTCGGAATTACATTGGGAAAGCATTGGAACCCGAGTGAGTTACAACTCGGATTCCTATTTGGAATCCTTCTGGCAGATTCTTGCAATCCGATGGGGGTTACCTTGGGAGGCGTGTGTGGTCCTACTGAAATTCGGTCGGAATCAATGATATCCTGTTTCGATCCTAGTGGGGTCCTGTTGATACGATTCGGTTCGTATTGAATTCCTAGTGGAATCCTACTAGGGTCAAATTGCAACCCTATTGCGACCCGGTCGGGGTCCGAAGGGGCATTCAAGGCAACCTCATCCTTGTTCTCATTCACTTCCACTGAAGCTTCCGGTGCAAACCCGATTCATACATTGGAGCTCCTCGGTGATCGTCTGGATGCCACCCCAAACCACCCCGCGCTTTGCCGTATACCATCCAAAACTGGAGCCTTGACACAAATCAACCGATCGGGCTAGACACAGGATTAGAAACAGGAATAGGAGAAGCATACTGGCATCAGTTGGGGTGCGAGTGGGTTCACATTGGGATCCCTCGGGGATATCCAGGGAATCCAGCTTGAAATCCTCTTGGAGCCGCACTGAAGCCCAATCATTACCCTGTTTGCATCGCATCGTGGTCTGTATCGGCCATACTGCATTCAATCGGGGTCCCATTGAAATGGAATTCGATGCCTATTGGGATCCCATGGGTATCCTACGGTGGCACCTCTTGGAATTACATTGGAATGAAAGTAGGATGCCAACGGAGTCCTTCGGTATCCGATCGGGCCATGATTGGCACTATATGTAGAAGGGGGGGCACTGAAAAGGTGAGTTGAATTCTACTGGTGTAAACTTGAAGCCCTGCCGGAGTCATTTCCGGATCACCCTGGGATCCGATTGGGCGCATGTTGGAATCCGACTGGGGCCTTCCTGGGATCCTGTTGCAATCCCAACAGGACATCACTGGGACTCTGCTGGTGCCTCACCGGGATCCGACTGGAATCCGAGGAGCGGGGAGGAGGAGGGAGGGCGGGCAGGAGGGGAGGGCGGGGAGGGCGGGGAGGGATGGGGTCAGCGAGGAGCGGGGCGGAGCGGGGAGGGCGGGGAGGAGCGGGGAGGGGGGGCGGAGCGGGAAGGGCGGGGAGGAGCGCGGATTGGCAGGGCGGAGCGAGAAGGAGCGGGGAGTTGCGTGGCGCAGTCCTCGCCCTCGGCCGGGCGCCTCCCGCCCGGAGCCCTGCCCAGCAGAGCGTCCTCGATGCACCTGCTCCCTCTGCTCCTGCTGCTGCTGCTGCTCCTCTTACTCCTGCTCCCGCTCCTGCTCCCGCCCCTGCTCCTGCTCCTGCTCCTGGTCCTCCTCCTCCTCCTCCTCCTCCTCCTCCTCCTCCTCCTCTTCCTCCTCCTCCTCCTCCTCCTCCTCCTGGTCCTGGTCCTGGTCCTCCTCCTCCTCCTCCTCTTCCTCCTCCTCACCCTCCTCCACCAGTCACACATCGCGTCACGCTGCTCGGTTTGCTTCGCTATCATCATCCTCATCCTCATCCTCATCATCATCATCATCATCATCATCATCATCATCATCATCACCACCATCATCATCATCACCACCACCACCACCACCACCATCATCATCATCATCATCATCATCACCATCATCATCATCATCATCATTATCAGCATCATCATTATCATCATCAGCATCGTCATCATCATCAGCATCATCAGCATCACCATCATCATCATCATCATCAGCATCATCATCATCCTCATCCTCATCCTCATCCTCATCATCATCGTCATCGTCATCAGCATCAGCATCAGCATCAGCATCAGCATCAGCATCAGCATCAGCATCAGCATCAGCATCAGCATTGCCATCAGCATCAGCATCAGCATCAGCATCAGCATCAGCATCAGCATCAGCATCAGCATCATCATCATCATCATCATCATCATCATCATCATCATCATCATCATCATCATCATCATCATCATCATCGCCGTCCTCGTCGGCCTTCCCTCCCCCCCTCTAGCTTCATCGGTGGCCTCTGGCAGCCTCTGGCAGGTTCGCTGGGATTCCCAAGGGACTCGTAAGACCTCCTCTCTGGGACTCGCGCGGATCCCTGCGGGATCGGAGGGGGTCTCGGAAGGGGGGTGCGCCACCAGAGGCCGCCATCCACGATTCCCCCTCCCCGCCCCCCTCCCCGCTCCTGCTCCTCCCTGCCCCGCTCCCTCGATGCACACCTTGGGCGCCCGAGTTATCCAGGGTAACTCGCGCCCGGGGTAACTCGGCCTTGGGTTCCCGAACAACGAACCCGAGTTAGCCCTGACCCGAGATACCCCTGATGATTTTGGGGCTCTGGGCGACTGAATTATCCGGGGTAGCTCGGGTTTGGGATAAATCGGGTTCAGAATCCCGAAAAACGAACCCGAGTCAGTCCTGATCCGAGTTACCCCTGATGATTCCGGGCTCTGACGCTCCCTCGACGCACACCTGCGCTTGCCCATCGCCGCACGGCCAGGGGCAAACTGCTCGGCACCGAGGCCGGCGAGCGCCGCGGCCGCTCCGCCGCCCCCCGGCGCCTCGCCGCGGGCGGGGTCGGCCGGCGCGGAGGGCCCCGCCCGCGAGCCCGAGGCGGCCGCCGCCGCCGCCGCTGGGCAGCCCGCCTCCTCGCAAGGGGGCCAGGGACACACAGATGAGTAGGCACAAGACACCTGGTACAGTCGGGGCGTTGCCCTAAGGAACCCTAGATAAGGAACGAGGCCCCAATTTTCCATAAGTTGAACTTCGATTTCGCATGGGAAACCTAAGGAAAATCCCAGGCAAGCTGCGAAGCAATCAAGGAGCACGGAGCCCCTCCCCAACGAAAAGGGTTCCTTCTTCAGGGCCACGACTGTATTTTCGCATATTTTCTGGAGTTTCGTCGTCGTCTTCCCTCACGCTTCCCATATTTTCCAAGACTCCGGTGCCTCTTCCTGGGGAGCCGGCGATCACTTGTGTCTGCGTTTTTCTCCCAGCGGGCTCCTCCCCGTCACGGACTGGGGCGCCCTCTTCGCTGCTCCTCTGCGGCGTCGCCATAAGGGCGTGCCCCCCCCGCGTCCGCTGCGCCGGTGCCGGCAGCGGAGGGTCGAGCATCGGCCACATGCAAGGGCGATCCTGAGCATGGGGGAAACAGGTCCAGAGGGAAACGGGTCCTGCACCCCCCAAGGCGGCCCGAGTGAGGAGGAGGAGGAGGAGGAGGAGGAGGAGAGGAGGAGGAGGAGGAGGAGGAGGAGGAGGAGGAGGAGGAGGAGAGGGAGAAGGAGGAGGAGGAGGAGGAGGAGGAGGAGGAGGAAGGTGCCTGCCTCCAGGACGAGGTTTTAATCCTGAGTCGTTCTCTGACGCTTCCGGGGCCCGTCGAGGGCCCCGAGAGCCCGAAGGAGCGAAAGCCCTCAGGACCCGTTGCCCTCCGGACCCGTGTCCCCAAGGGCGAGATCCTGGGCAAGGCGGGTTTTTTGCGAGCGGCCTGCCGGCGGTGGCGTGCGATGCGACCAGCGGCCGACTGCGTGCTCGAGCGTAGCCCCCCCAAGGCGGCCCGAGTGAGGAGGAGGAGGAGGAGGAGGAGGAGGAGGAGGAGGAGGAGCAGGAGGAGGAGGAGGAGGAAGAGGAGGAGAGGGAGGAGGAGGAGGAGCAGGAGGAGGAGGTGGGGGAGGGGACCCCGTGTGCCACCTGGAGGCCCGCGCACCCCGAAAGCCGCGCACCAAAAGATCCCTCGGGCGGAGGACCACTGTCTTGCGTGTCGCCGAGAGAGTAGGGGGGGTGGGGCGCGCTGTTGGCGAAAAGCGGCTGCGGCGCGGGCCAGAATGGCAGCGCGTGGCGGGGGGGGAGGGGGCAGACGGAGGGGGATGGGCGAAGGAGGGGATGGGACGAGGGATGAGGGAGGATAATAGAAGAGGAGGAAGGAGCGGAAATGACATATATATATATATATATACATATTATCCCTGGCGGCTACACGCTTACCCAGGGCTCAACTTAGGAGCGTGGTCGGTCGGAGTGGCGGTAGCCATCCAGAACATTCACAACTTCATTTTACTCGCACGGACGCCCGATCGCACGGGCGCTAAGTTCTGTAGCACTCCAGTCGGGAAAGTAAACTCAACAGAACCGAATCAGTTGACAAAGGCCGAGATCGAGAGACTCCACTCCCCTGAGAAGATTAATCAAGGAAGAAAAGCCTGTACGCATCGGCACCGACTGCGTCTGGAAAAGAAAAGGTGGGAGGATGGGGACGGACGCGGTGCGCTTGAGCAAGTATGCCACGGGCGAGGCATGCATTCAATCGGGACGCTCCTCGCCTCTCTGGAAAACACAAGTCACAGACAAAAATTATCCCTAGCGGCTACACGCTTACCCAGGGCTCAACTTAGGAGCGTGGTCGGTCGGAGTGGCGGTAGCCATCCAGAACATTCACAACTTCATTTTACTCGCACGGACGCCCGATCGCACGGGCGCTAAGTTCTGTAGCACTCCAGTCGGGAAAGTAAACTCAACAGAACCGAATCAGTTGACAAAGGCCGAGATCGAGAGACTCCACTCCCATATCTGCCCATAAGGCATCTGGCGAAGCCGGCTTCAGCATTTTCTGAGAGCCCGAAGGAGCTTGACAGGAAACTCTCTCTCCGCAACCGAAGTCTTCCTTTGCTGCTCAGGTGACAACTTATGTACTTGCCGAAGGATTTTGCCGTGCTTCGAATATCTCACCACACTCTGCGAATGGGCCCACTGGCCCCTCTTCTGGATCTGATCAAGAGTCGCCAGACCCATATACATGTCATGCGAAGCCCCGGCATGCCGAACTCCGTGAGGAGAGATGTCCAGATCTGTGAGGCCCAAGTCAAAAGCGGCTTGACGAAAAAGGGCCTCATACTTGGAGAGAGTCAGGTCGAACATGTAGGGAGCTGCACTGCCCACGCGGTACCAAAGGCCTACCGCCTCCGCCACCCAGGCTCGCTGCAGCTCACCGATCACCACTGTCCCATCCACGACCCCAGTCTTGGTGGGCGCTGCGTGCTCGGCCTCGCCCAGGAGCAGCGCCCAGGCCCGCGCGTAACGCCGGCCAGCCCGGGGAGCAGGCGGCAGCACCGAGGACAGGAGGAGCGACACAGCTTCGTCCGGCCTCAGGTAGCAGTCGAACTGCAGAGCCAGGCACACGGCGGCGGCGGTCAGGCCTTTGTCCAGGAGGTAGAGGCCGATCAGGCAGACGACGCCGAAGGGGATGGGATCACGGACTCGCTGGGGAGCCCGAGTGGTCCACCCTCGAAGCGCCCTCGACGCCTTCGGGAAGAGGTTGGCCTTGTTCCGATCCAGGTGCGTCTCGAAGTGAATATAGCCGTAGAGGACGTTGCGGCCCTCGGCGGGACCAGACCCCTCGAAGTACAGGTCGGTGAAGTACTGCTCCATCGCCGAGTCCGTGGAGCTGAAGCTACCCAGGTCGTAGTGCCTCGACTTCGCCCAGCCCTTGAACCTGCCGAGCGCGTCGGAGTAGAGCCGCTTCGTGGAGTCACGGATGGTCCCGAGCCGCAGGAAGTCGTCGCGCGCCGCTGGCGGGACCCGCGCCCTGCGCGCCACCGCCAGCCGCTCCTTCTCCTCGCCGACAGCCGCACGGCCCTGCTGCCGCAGCGGCGGCCTCAGGGCCGCCTTGATGACCCCGCGCGCCGCCGAACTCGACGGCGTGGCGCGCGAGGAAGTCCTGCCCGCGGCTCTCGGCGTCAGTCCCGCCGTGAGCCTCCCCGAGTTTCGCTGCAGCACCATGCGACCGCGGCACCAGCGCCTCCAGCTCCGCGCCCCACTCGGAGGCGAGCGGCTCGGAGTCGCCGAAGGCCTGAGGAGACGCCGCCGAGCATAGCGCGGCAGCCCACTCTCGGCAGAGGGCGGGCGAGTAGGCTCCAGCCTTGAGCCCACCCTGCAGAGGCTCATGGCGGTGTGACCCATCACATCTTCTCCCCAGGATGTCCAGACAGATGGCATTGGTGAAGATGGTGGTCGGTTTGCGAACATTTTCTCCGAATCCACAAAGATCGAACGAGACGTATCGGGCGTCTGGCAGGCTGGCAAGGACAGCAAGGGGCTCGAAGCGAAACAACTTCGAGCTGGCAGGATTCTCCAGCGACCACAGTACGCCACAGCGGTCACACTCTTTGATGACCTCCGCTGTGAAGAGCGCCATGTCGACAGACACTGCCTCCAACCGCCGCGCCCGCTCGATGTTATAAGGCGTGGAGCGGGCGACTGACCAGGCGGAGCATGCTGTCCCCAGATGTACGTACCAGAGCTTCCCACTCCGAATCCAACGCAGCACAGCTCGCTGCGTCGTGCGACGTGACAAATCATATCTGGCGGAGCGCCTGATCTCGGCGCCTGGCAGGACTCGCAGCCCCAGGCGCCGGAGAGAGGCGGTGAGCCGGCCTGAGCCCGAGAAGAGCTCGAGCGAGGCTTGGACCGCCTGGGGCGCGCCATGATGTCGAGGCGCGCCCAGGCGGCGGCCTCCCCTCCGCAGAGAGGCCGCGGGCGCCCCGCCCTCAAGTCTCGTGGGTACCTGCACTCGCGGGGCTCGGGGACGACGGGAGCCCTCGTCCGCGTGGTTCCTGTCCGTGCGGATGTGGCGGACCCGCCACGCCACACAGCCGGCAACCTGATAGGCCGCGGCTCGGCGGCACAGCGCATTGAGCGCCCAGCTCGACGAGCGGCCGCGGTCGAACACCACGGCGGACACGAGGTTGTCCGACAGGGTGAGGAGCCGGCGGTGGCAGCCCCGTCGAGTCCGCAAGCTACGTCGGAGACCCATGAGACAGACCCGAGCCTCCTTGACGTTGATGTGCTCCTGCTTCCAGTGCCAGAAGCCCTCCACCAGCGTACGCCAGCGCCGCCTATTGTCCCAGCAGGCGCCGACCACGGGGATGGCCTCGAACACTTCCACCTCCTCCCGCTGCGCGGCCCCTCGGGCCGATCGCCGGCGTCTGCGCCGCTTGGGATCGGCCCCGACCTCGGCTGCGCGGGCTGCCTCGGCGGCCCACTGCGCCAGGCGCGTCCGAGCCCCCAGCGGCTCCCAGGCGGTCCTCCCCACGACGTGGGGCTCCCCGAACGCCTCCAGCTGCTCGGGATCGTCGCCGTCAAAGCAGACCCCGAAAGCCGCCCCCAACGCCTCCAAGGTCGGGTGCGGCGGCGGAGGCAGCGGCGGCGCGGCCTTGAACCTCCAGCGCTCCCTCCACTTGAAGTCCTCCAGCAGCTCGTCGCCTGTGCCCTTCGTCTCCATGAGAGCGTAGCCGTAGCCCGACGAGTCGCCGAGGTAGACCGACGAGTTGAACGGCGCGTCCAGCTCCACCTCGCAGGTGAAGACCAGGTTGGACATGAGCCAGAGCTCACGCCGAACGCCTCGCCACAAGCGTCCTGACCTCTCCTTGTGAGCCGCGACGTAGGCGTAGCTCTGGGACAGGATAGACAGAAGGGGTCGGCAGAGGCCGCACATGTGTACGGCGTGGCCCAACCGGATCTCGAGCTGCCAACCTGCCACCACACGGCGGCGAATCAGGGCTGCAGTCGCCAGCTTGAAGCGCCAGAGGCGGGCCGATCGATGCCGCAGGCGGCGGCCCGGCCCGTCAAACTGCAGCCCGAGAGCCTCGAGATAGGGGCTGCAGGGGACCTCATCGTGGAGATCGAGGCCGAAGGCGGCACACTGCGCGCGGAAGTCCTGGTGGGCCTGCTCTGCGTCCATGGCGCTGTGCCCCAGCCCCGTGTGGTTGTCCACGTACACGGCGTGGACGGGCCGCCCAGGGACCAGGCGGGGGGCCGGAGCGCGCTCTCGGAGCAAGCCACCCCAACCATCAGCGGCCACAGCCGCCGCGCGAGAAGCCACCGCCTCGTTGCAGAAGTAGAGGGCCCACGACCATCCCATGGGCATGGCCCCCATGCAGAGGTAGAAGGACTCGTGCGTGGCCAGCTCCACGTCCACGCCCAGCTCGGGGTCGAACACCTTGGTGATGCCAAAACTCCCCTTGCTGAACGACTCGTCGATACCGAACCAGTCGGCCACCTCGACGATGCTGAACTGGTAGAAGCCGTCGCGCACGTCAGCGCCACTCTGGTGGAAGTCCAAAGCTGGGACACCCCCAGCACCAGGCAGAACACAATGAGTCGCCATCTCCGCCGCCACATCCGCGAACTCGGCCAGGTTGAGCTCCGCGAAGGACTGCGCGGTCCCCAGCTGCGTGGTGGGCGGCGGCTTGTGGCAGGCATTCGGGTATCGGGCGTCCACGATGAGGCGGATGGCCCCCTCCTTCTTCTTGACAAAGAAGAGCCCGATGCGGCCCTTGAGCCGCCTCCTGGGCACCAGGATGCCCGAGGAGAGGAGGCGCTCGAAGAGCTCGTGCCGGGCTCGCTTGTTGCGCCGCAGCACGGGATCCCAGTAGGGCTTGGGCGAGGGCTCGGAGGCGAACTTGGCCTCGATCTCCTCGGCGGACAGCTCGATGCACGTCTTGTAGCGTCGGAGCCTCTGCGCTGCATGAGGTGGTAGCAGCGCTCTCGCATCCTTGGGTTCCACCACTCCCTTGGCCACTCGCAGCTTGGCTGGATCATAACTGGCAAGGTGACGTGGCTCTTGACCGTACAGGTCCTTCGTTTTGAAGAGCTCCCGGAGGGCTCTACTTGGAGCGAGGCCTTCGGGGACCAGGCCTGCGCGCCCCACCCGATCCTCGAGACTCGCCAACATCTCCCGCTGGACTGCTGTAGGAGCTGAGCTCGCCAGCGGAGATCGTCGAAAGTGCGAATTGTTAGCTTGAGCGGCCGCCAGTTGGTTGACACCGAGTACTGTATCTCTAACAAGCCTTTGCCGCGTCGTGGAGCGCCACCACCTCTGCTGCACATAGTGAGGGGCTCCACGTGGGTACTGCCGAACTTCGGGCACAGGAAGAGGAAAGGGTCCTCCGTGCCTCCACTCCCCGCCAGGCCACCAGTCGGCTTTGGTGACCCGCGGGCTGTCGGGCGCCATCTAGCCCGGCAGAGGGGCCTCGGCTCCTTGGCCGCCAGCCCCCCTGCCTTTGCCTTTTGCATCACCGCCCTTTGGCCCCTTCGGGCCGCGCCTCCTGTCCCGCTCGTTCCTGGTCTCCTCCTTGTACAACCTCGACTGCTTGAGGATGTTCGCCCTCTCCTTCTGACGGTCCGACACCCAGGTGCGGAACCTCGGCGCTCGCGCAGCCCCGTCGGTCCCCACAGCGCCGTCAGCAATGACTCCGAGCCCACTGAAGTCGGGATCCCGGGGGTCTCGCGCCACCGCCATCTCCAGCATGACGACCCGCCTCGCGAGAAGCTCGAACGAGGCCAGGTTGCTGATGTCGACCTGGTCGGTGCTGGTGGCCACACGCAACATCTCCATGGCGTTCTTGTGCTCATAGGCGATGGCGCTATTCTGGTTGACCCCCGACAGCCTGATCCACTCGGCGTGGTACGAAGTCGGGTTTCCTGCTCCTTCTCGAATCGAGGCGGCCAGTTCTTTGCACACTCGTGGCCCCTCGAACTTCCACTCCGGCATGTCACTCTCGCGCAGCATGCCGACGGCGTCTGGCCACCCGAGGTGACGTGTGCCGTCCGCTGCTGTGTGCACGCCCAGACTCCTGATGTCCTCAGCGCCGACACGACGCTGCTCAGCCCACTCGCCCAGTCGAGCACGTCCAACCTTCTCGACCCCTCGAGCTGTACCTTCACGGCGCACCAGGCCGCGGTTGCCCAGCTCCACGAACTCGTCCCCCTCGAGGACATCGGCGGCGACGAGCGTCCCGAACGCTGGGTCCTCGAGGTCAGCGTAGACCCATTCCTCAGCGTCCATGGCCTCGTCCTCGTCCCCGCCGAGCACGGCCGCCTGAAGTCGAGCACGTCTCTTGTGCCCGGCGACCGCCTCGCGTCCGATCGGGTCGAAGGCGTAGAGGTCCCCAACGATGGCATCTGGAAAAGCCTGTCCTCGCTCGAGCACCCGATGCCGACGCTCGTCCAGATTGATCCTCTCGAGATCGAGATCTGGAGTGAGCGTGATCCACACAGCGTCTCGCACACGTCGCAACAAGATACGATGATGCCAAGTAAAATTAGGATCATCATCGAAGCGAACGGCGACTTGGAACTCAGGAATGTCCGGGCACCGTGGCACTGCAGCCATGCCTTGACGAAGGTGTCACTGGCCCCGTCGATGGTCCTGTCGTCAGCGCCAAAGTGGTCGGCGCTGCCGTCGCAGTGGCCGCCTCTGGGGCCGTGGCGGCCCGTGGCGCCGCCGAGGACGCCGATGCTGCTCCGCCTGGAGCACGTCGTAGGCGAGGCGAGACGGCCAGCCCGACGGCCACGCCCGCCGCGAAGACCACCAGCAGCGGCCAGACAGGCCCTGCGGCCGTTGGCTCGGGAGCCCGAGCCTCGCAAGGCACTGCCGCCTGTCCAGGCGAGCCGCACGACAACGAGCCGCACTCCACGTGCGGGCAGACCAGCGACGGGCACGGAGGGCAAGATTGCAGGCTGCTGCTGAGATGCAGGGAAAGGTGAGAGAGCTCTCGAAGGACCCCGCCGAGCTGAAGCAGGTCCATATGCGCTTGAGCAAGTATGCCACGGGCGAGGCATGCATTCAATCGGGACGCTCCTCGCCTCTCTGGAAAACACAAGTCACAGACAAATATATATATATATATATATATATATATAGACGGAGAGAGAGAGAGAGAGAGGAGGAAGGATCAACGACAAACAACAACAACAGCAGCAGCAGCAACAACAACAACATCAGCAACAACAACACCAACAACAACACCAACAGCAACAACAGCAGCAACAACAACAGCAGCAACAGCAACCATAACAACAGCACCAACAACAACACCAACAACAACAGCAACAGCAGCAGCAACAACAACAGCAACAACAACACCACCAACAGCAACAGCAACATCAACAGCAACAACAACACCAACAACAACACCAACAACAACAATAACATCAACAGCAACGCCAACAACATCAACACTAACAACAACAACAACAACAACACCAACAACAACAACAACAGCAACACCAACACTACTAACAACAATCAGGTTAAGACTGCTCGCTCTTATCTGCTCGCGTGTCATTCAATATGCATATCCCTAACTCTGGATACCCGCCCTCTTCGTCTTCGATCGTACCCCCTTCGGGGGGTATATTCATTCCCTGCCACGTGTGGCTGGTGAAGCCCATGAACATGAACGGTAACACATTACGGGGGAGAATGAGGACGAAGGGATCGGAGGCAGGGAAGGGAGGGGCAACAACGAGGGAGGACGATGATTTGCGCTGCCGCTGTTGGCCAGAACACGACATGTCACACCGTCATTGGCGCGGGCCACAACGGGCGCGAACGAGCGGGGGCCACGAAGGGCATACGTATAGGGCGCCGTAGAGGGCAGCGACGGAGCCGCTGAGGGCAGAAACGGGGCCACGAAGGGCAGAGAGGGGGGGCCACGAAGAGCGACAGCGGGGCCACGAAGGGCACGCATATGAGGCCACGACGGGCGCGAACCAGCGGGGGCCACGAAGGGCATACATCTATGGGGCCAGAAAGGGCGACAGCGGGGCCACTGAGCGCAGAAAGTGGGCCACGAAGGGCAGCGAGGGGGCCACGAATGGCGACAGCGTGGCGACGAAACGCATGCGCATGGGACCACGAAGGGCGCGAGCGAGCGGGGGCCACGAAGGGCAATGAATCCGGGGCCACAGAGGACAGCGACGGGGCCGCTGAGGGCAGAAACGGGGCCACGAAGGGCAGCGAGGGGGCCACAAAGGGCGACAGCGGGGCCACGAAGGGCGTGCATATGGGGCCACGACGGGCGCGAGCGAGCGGGGGCCACGCAGAGCATTCGCATATGGGGCCACAAAGGGCGACACCGGGGCCACTGAGGGCACGCAGGGCAGCGAGAGGGCCACGAAGGGCGACAGCGGGGCTACGAAGCGCATGCGTATGGTTGCGAGGAATTCCAAAGCGAGAGCGCGATGTTCCAATAAACTGAAAGGAAATGTCAGACGGGAGCCGCGATTCGATTGTAAATTACAAGGAAGTCCCAAGCGAGAGCGCGACTCTTCAATAAATTGAAAGGAAATATCAAGCGGGAGCCGTTGTTGGCGCGGGCAACGACGGGCGCGAACGAGCGGAGGCCCCGAAGGGCATACGTATAGGGGGCCGCAGAGGGCAGCGACGGAACCGCTGAGGGCAGAAACGGGGCCACGAAGGGCAGAGAGGGGGGGCCACGAAGAGCGACAGCGGGGCCACGAAGGGCAGGCATATGGGGCCACGACGGGCGCGAACCAGCGGGGGCCACGAAGGGCATACATCTATGGGGCCAGAAAGGGCGACAGCGGGGCCACTGAACGCAGAAAGTGGGCCACGAAGGGCAGCGAGGGGGCCACGAATGGCGACAGCGTGGCGACGAAACGCATGCGCATGGGACCACGAAGGGCGCGAGCGAGCGGGGGCCACGAAGGGCAATGAATCCGGGGCCACAGAGGGCAGCGACGGGGCCGCTGAGGGCAGAAACGGGGCCACGAAGGGCAGCGAGAGGGCCACAAAGGGCGGCAGCGGGGCCACGAAGGGCGTGCATATGGGGCCACGACGGGCGCGAGCGAGCGGGGGCCACGTAGGGCATTCGTACATGGGGCCACAAAGGGCGACACCGGGGCCACTGAGGGCACGAAGGGCAGCGAGAGGGTCACGAAGGGCGACAGCGGGGCTACGAAGCGCATGCGTATGGTTGCGAGGAAGTCCAAAGCGAGAGCGCGATGTTCCAATAAACTGAGAGGAAATATCAGGCGGGAGCAGCGATTCGATGGTAAATTACAAGGAAGTCCCAAGCGAGAGCGCGATTCTTCAATAAATTGAAAGGAAATATCAAGCGGGAGCCGTTGTTGGCGCGGGCAACGACGGGCGCGAACGAGCGGAGGCCCCGAAGGGCACACGTATAGGGGGCCGCAGAGGGCAGCGACGGAGCCGCTGAGGGCAGAAACGGGGCCACGAAGGGCAGAGAGGGGGGGCCACGAAGAGCGACAGCGGGGCCACGAAGGGCAGGCATATGGGGCCACGACGGGCGCGAACCAGCGGGGGCCACGAAGGGCACACATCTATGGGGCCAGAAAGGGCGACAGCGGGGCCACTGAGCGCAGAAAGTGGGCCACGAAGGGCAGCGAGGGGGCCACGAATGGCGACAGCGTGGCGACGAAACGCATGCGCATGGGACCACGAAGGGCGCGAGAAAGCGGGGGCCACAAAGGGCAATGAATCCGGGGCCACAGAAGGGAGCGACGGGGCGGCTGAGGGCAGAAACGGGGCCACGAAGGGCAGCGAGGGGGCCACAAAGGGCGACAGCGGGGCCACGAAGGGCGTGCATATGGGGCCACGACGGGCGCGAGCGAGCGGGGGCCACGTAGGGCATTCGTATATGGGGCCACAAAGGGCGACACCGGGGCCACTGAGGGCACGCAGGGCAGCGAGAGGGCCACGAAGGGCGACAGCGGGGCTACGAAGCGTATGCGTATGGTTGCGAGGAAGTCCAAAGCGAGAGCGCGATGTTCCAATAAACTGAGAGGAAATATCAGGCGGGAGCAGCGATTCGATGGTAAATTACAAGGAAGTCCCAAGCGAGAGCGCGACTCTTCAATACATTGAAAGGAAATATCAAGCGGGAGCCGTTGTTGGCGCGGGCAACGACGGGCGCGAACGAGCGGAGGCCCCGAAGGGCATACGTATAGGGGGCCGCAGAGGGCAGCGACGGAGCCGCTGAGGGCAGAAACGGGGCCACGAAGGGCAGAGAGGGGGGGCCACGAAGAGCGACAGCGGGGCCACGAAGGGCAGGCATATGGGGCCACGACTGGCGCGAACGAGCGGGGGGCCACGAAGGGCATACATCTATGGGGCCAGAAAGGGCGACAGCGGGGCCACTGAACGCAGAAAGTGGGCCACGAAGGGCAGCGAGGGGGCCACGAATGGCGACAGTGCGGCGACGAAACGCATGCGCATGGGACCACGGAGGGCGCGAGCGAGCGGGGGCCACGAAGGGCAATGAATCCGGGGCCACAGAGGGCATCGACGGAGGGCAGAAACGGGGCCACGAAGGGCAGCGAGGGGGCCACAAAGGGCGACGGCGGGGCCACGAAGGACGTGCATATCATTAGGGCCACGACGGGCGCGAGCGAGCGGGGGCCACGCAGGGCATTCGTATATGGGGCCACACAGGGCGACAGCGGGCCCACTGAGGGCAGCAAAGGGGCCACGAAGGGCAGCGAGAGGGCCACGAAGGGCGACAGCGGGGCTACGAGGGGCATACGTATGGGGCAACGACGGGCGACTGCGAGCGGGGGCCACGAAGGGCATCGGGGCACAATGGGCAGCGACGGGGCCACTGAGGGCAGCAACGGGACCACGAAGGGCAGCGAGCGAAGGCGTCCGCGGAACCAGTACGGGCAGCGAGGGGCATCGAAGGCAGGCGAAGGGCAGCGAGTGGCGACTGCAATCCCTAACGGGCTGGTCGGGTGGGCAGGCCCAGACGGGCGGGTCGAGCGGGCGGGTCGTTGAAGCGTGAATTTTGCTTGAACCGCCTGGCAATATATAGCGGGAGCGCGATTCCTGATTGTCGAAGAACGGCATCTGAATACATTGTGAGGAAGTATCAGGCGGGAGCCGCGATTCGGTGGTAAGTTTCGAGAGAGTCCCAAGCGAGAGCGCGATTCTTCAATACATTGTGAGGAAGTGTCCGGTGGTAAATTGCAAGGAAGTCCCAAGCGGGAGCGCGATTCTTTAATAAATTGTGAGGAAGGATCAAGCAGGAGCCGTTGTTGTTGCAAACCGGGGGCCGACGACACAGTTTGACCATCAAGACTTTCCCTGATACAAAAACAAAGTGCGAGCCCCGGGAAGGGCACTTCAATTAAAAAGCGATGTGCACCGGACGGGGGGGGATCAACAATAATTACTCTTCAGAAGTGAGAGTTCAACAACAACAACAACAACAACAATAACAACAATCACTTTACCCGAACGCTCAGTGTTCTCACCAGTGCCAGGGTTTTCATGCGACGCCAGCCAATACCCCCACTTTGCGGGGGGGCAGTGCAAGCTCTACCAAATATCCACACGACTCTTCGCCACCACCCACACCCAGCTTCCCGCCCTATGACGTTCGGACACTTCACTTCGTGGCCTGCGGACGACCGTGGCTACTACACAGGCGTGGAGTACACACCCACAGAAGTTGTAAGCCTACGTTCGTACACCCACAGAAGTTTTAAGCCTGGTAACCCACAGAAGTGTTAACGGTGCTAAAATTCTTAAGAAGCCAAATGGTTTTTGGAGATTTCGGCGTGCGCGCGCGAAGAAAAAACGAATGTGTCCCGCATGGTATTATTTGACCGGGATGATGGCCCTGGCAGGTGCGCAACCGTTGTTGCAGAAGTTCGAAAAAGTTGCTCGCAAAAGCCCGTTTGACAGAAATGATTAAAAAGTGTTGGGTTTCCTACGGCGACTGGGACGGGTAAGGCGCGGTGGCACGAATAACCGTCGCCGGGAAATCGCAAAGAGCGCGCGGGATGAAATTTTGACAATTTTTTGTTTGAAAAACCATTGGTGTTTTGATGTTTTTATGTTAAAATCGCTACGAAAACTAAGGTTTTGGAAGGATTTCGTCTTGCGCGCGCGAATGTCCACTTTACCTTATTTTTTGCCAGGGATTCTTGAAATTTGATTATATTAGAACAAGAAATGTCATTTTATAGTGTTTTTTGCAAGGGAAAGCGGGGGGGAACAAAACAACCGGATCTTGATCACATCGAATTACCTGAGGCTTCCTCACGAAAATGATGAAAATGTAGCTGCGGCCTAGGCGGCGCAGGGGGCCGTGCACCAGGGGCCCCAACAATAATTATTCTTTAGAATTAATAAATGTTCAACAACAACAACAACAACAACAACAACAACAACAACAACAACAACAACAATCACTTTACCCGAACGCTCAGTGTTCTCACCAGTGCCAGGGTTTTCATGCGACGCCAGCCAATACCCCACTTTGTGGGGGGGCAGTGCAAGCTCTACCAAATATCCACACGACTCTTCGCCACCACCCACACCCAGCTTCCCGCCCTATGACGTTCGGACACTTCACTTCGTGGCCTGCGGACGACCGTGGCTACTACACTGGCGTGGTGCTAAAATTCTTAAGAAGCCCAATGGTTTTTGGAGATTTCGGCGTGCGCGCGCGAAGAAAAAACGAATGTGTCCCGCATGGTATTATTTGACAGGGATGATGGCCCTGGCAGGTGCGCAACCGTTGTCGCAGAAGTTCGAAAAAGTTGCTCGCAACAGCCCGTTTGACAGAAATGTTTAAAAAGTGTTGGGTTTCCTACGAATCCGCAAGAGCGCGCGGGATGAGATTTTGACATTTTTTGTTGAAAAACCATTGGTTTTTTGATGTTTTTATGTTGAAATCGCTCCGAACACTAAGCTTTTGGAAGGATTTCGTCTTGCGCGCGCGAATGTCCACTTTACCTTTTTTTTTGCAAAGGATTCTTGAAATTTGATTATATTAGAACAAGAAATGTCATTTTATAGTGTTTTTGCAAGGGAAAGCGGGGGGGAACAAAACAACCGGATCTTGATCACATCGAATTACCTGAGGCTTCCTCACGAAAATGATGAAAATGTAGCTGCGGCCTAGGCGGCGCAGGGGGGCCGTGCACCAGGGGCCCCAACAATAATTATTCTTTAGAATTAATAATGTTCAACAAATGAGGGAGGAACAAGAGAGAAGACGGGATCAAAGATGATGAGAGTGGAGGGCGGCGGAGGGAGAGAGGACGGAGGAAAAAGAGGAGGGAGGGGGGAGAAGACAGAAGACAGGAGGAAGAGAAGGGAACGGGAGGTGGAGGAGACCGTGGGTACCAAGGCCTCCTTCGCGTCGCCGCGCCAGCGCCAGGCCTACTACCTGTGCTACACGCGCGGGGGGCCATGATGGCGACCATCGGAGCGTGGAGAGGTCACGACCAAGGCGCAGCGCACCCTTGACGACGGCGAGCACCTGGTGGTGCGTTCCAGATGTGAGGCCCACTGTTTTGTCTTCCATAACACGTGCTAGCTGCCTGCGCCATGCGAGACGTCGCCGCCAGCCTTGCTCGTGGAACCTCTCCGCGGGCGGCTGCAGCGCCTCAGCGAGGATGAAGTCCGCGAGCTGCCACCGTTGCAGACTTTGAGGACCTCGGAGGCGTGCTGCTCCCCAAGCCACCGCAGGCGCCACCCAATGCCCATGCGGGGAATGTCCCGCCGCCAGCGCCTCACCCGTGCGCGTTCCATCGCCATCCCTGCGCAACCCGTCCGCATCACCATCTCCTCGACCTCTTCTCGGGGCAGTGGCGGGCAGGCGATTGGAATTCTTGGACGCGGGTACCCAGTCTGGGTCACGAGCACCCATGACGCAAACAATGATATCGCAGGCTGTCGCTGGCGATTCGACAAGGTCCACTGTAGTAAGTTTTGGTGCCTCCTTGCTCAGCAGCCGCCGCGTTCGCGGTGTTCTCTGCGGGCCCCCGTGCGAGACATGGAATGCGGCCAACCGGAACTGTTAGATATACTGGGAGGGGCCACGGCCGGTCCGAGTTGGGAACTGCTCGCAGACCTCCCCGCCCGTGCGGCAGAGGAGGCCTCCATCGCGCAAGCTCTCGGAGCAGAGCCTGGCCCGTGCCGGGCCGGTCGGGTGCCTGGCGTGCGCGAGCTCTCCGTCCGAGCGCCGCGGCAGCCCCCGCGCGGCCAAGCGGCGGCTGCTGCCCGAGGAGACACTCTCGGACTGCGCAGCCTGGCGTGCTGAAAAGCGCACGCTCGGCGGAGGCACGGCGGGATGCCCACCGATCGCAGGCCGGCCGCACCGCGGAACGCGCGCGTGCTCCGCCGGCCGAGCGCGCCTCGCCGTGGGCCTGCCGGTGCGGGGCGGCGCCTGCGCGCGGGCCGTGCCTGCGTCTGGTGGCTGCGGTGGGAGCGGCGTGAGGGCACGGGCACGCGCGGCCCGCAGGGGGTGTCGGCCGCGGGCATGCCGTCTGCTCGCTGAGGCCTTTTGGGAGGGGTGTCTCACCGAGCCTGGGGAGGCCAAAGGGGCACCAACACCGCCACTCCGAGGACCCCTCCCGGGGTGCGCTCTGACCAGGACTCCGAGGCGATCCCAGCGGTGGCGACGGGGGCCCCCCGGGGAGGCCCACAGAAGGGAGAGAACGGGTGAAGGGATGGCGGTATGGGTACCCTGTCCTCCCCCGAGGTTTCTTGGTTCCCTGAGCTGGAACAGAGGAGCGAGGGAGACTGCAGCGCCAGCAGGCGCATGCCAGTTTTCTGGCCCCTTCGGCCCTCTGCACCTCGCGCGTGGGAGGCCGGCGAGGAGGTCCGCTCCCGTGGGGCCTCCCGCGGGCTGCGCGGGCTGTCGCGGGGCCCTTCCCGTGCCGTGCGCTCCGTCGTTGCAGCTGTGGCTGCGGTGCTGGCGCCGCCGACGGGCGCCGTGCATGCTGCATGCCCGCTCCGCTGGCACAACCGGCGCCCTTCCCATCCTCACGTGCTCCAGGGAAGGGAGTGCACCGTGAGGGGCCCCACGCTCCACCTCGACCTCTACCAGGCTCCCTGCTGCTGTCGGTGCCCTCCTTGTCCTCCAGCACGGTCCCCCAGTGCTGCCGTGGAAATGGGAGGGGAGGAGGCCGGGCCAGGGCCTCGCCCCCCTCCACACTTCCCTTTCCCTCAAGGTGTTCTCGTATGCCCCCTTCCCCCCTCAACGACTGTTTCTTCAGTTTTTGAAGGAGGGCCCCTTTCTTCACTCGACTGGCCGCCTAACAGGAACCATGAGCACCCCCAACCCAACTGCAACAATTGCTGATATCAACGGGCATGTCCTTTAGGATGGAACGTTTGAAAAGGGCGTGCTGTGCAAACAAAAAAAAAAAAAAAAAAAAAAAAAGAAAAAAAAAAAAAAAAAAAAACAAAGACAAAAAAAAAAAAAGAAATAAAAAAAAAAAAAAAAAAAAAAAAAAAAAAAAAAAAAAACAAAAAAAAAAAAATAAAAAGAAAAAAGAAAAACAAAAAAAAAAAAAAAAAAAAATCAAAAAAATAAAAAAAAAAAATAAAAAAAAATATAAAAAAAAAGAAAAGAAAAAACAAAAAAAAAAAAAAAAAAATAAAAAAAAAGAGCAAAAAAAAAAAACAAAGAAAAAAAAAAAAAAAAAAATAAACAAAAAAAAAAAAAAAAAAAAAAAAAACAAGAAAAAAAAAAAAAAAAAATAAAAAATAAAAAAAAAATAAAAAAAAAAATATAACAAAAGAATAAAAAAAAAAAGGGGGCGTGCTGTGCTTTGTGAGAGCTATTGTGCGCCCCACGAAAGCTGTCACCGCAATAACGTGAATTGCACTCGTAAGACGTCGTTCCGCCGGACATCTCCGAAGTTCACGATAGTGCTGGCAGTCGCGCAGTTGGCAGCGTCCAGGGCGTCACTCTGATTGACCGGCCAGGGGATGACGAAGGTGACGACCGACAGTTGCGCAGCTGGCGGGGCCCAGATGGGGGCAAGCGAAGAAGAAGAAGAAGAAGCGAAGAGGAAGCGAAGAGGAAGCGAGGAGGAAGCGAGAAGGCGGCGAAACAGAGGGGAGGCGGGAGGCGGCAGCAAAAAGGAGAGCTGGCGGGAGAACGGGCAGAGGGCCGGGAGTGCTCGAGTGAAGGGCCTGGGGACACACAAACATATATACAGTAGGGGCTCGGCCACAAGAAACCTCCGCAAGAAACCCAACCCTGAAATCCGCGATTGGTTAAGTGAAAATCCAAATTCGTCGATCGAACATCGTCAAGATCTGATTGGGGGCCCATCGAAATCCAAGAAACCCAGGGCACCCTGGCAGAATCCAACTGGTTTCTTGGCACGCGCCCCCACTGTACACAAATCCAAGGAGTCCCTACATGTTGCCATATTATCTAGACTGTCGTATTCACCTTCACTTCCCATATTTCCCCATTCTCCAGATTCGCCTGGGAATTGACGATTACTTGTGTCTGCATTGATTCCCATCATGATCTACTAGGATCCATAAGGCAACCGCAGCCGGGTGGAGGAAAACATGCACCCTTTGAGCACTGAACAGTTGCTTGTGACATCGACAGCGGTGGGATACATACGTCACATGCGCGCTCGAATACGACCTGTGCCGAAGCCAGTGCAAACTAATTCTGGGTGAACACGCACAATGCACCATGCTGACCACCCTGCCGACACTTTGCATCGGCATTTGACATGGACGGTGCGGGTGCCGACATAGTGCCCGATGTGGTGTGTGTGTGTGTGTGTGCTGTCACGCTCCCTGGCACACCTGGTCCACTCTGTCCGCGTCCTGCACCGAACACGGCTGTATGTGGCACACCTAGAGCACGATGCGCACTTGGCACACCATGCGCGCTTGGCACGATTGGGCCCCTGGCACTGGGTGCACCTTTTGCGCTTGGCGCACCTGGCACGCTTCGCGCAAACAACGGGTGTCTGCATTGGTCCCCAATGGCTGCCCATTCAATGGCGGCGAGCCTCGGTTGTCACTCATACAGTGGGAGGGCAGGATGGAAAGAGCGAGGTAGCTTGTGGCGACCCCGTAGAGACCTCAATCCCCCCCTTACCCTCCCATCCCTTTTCCCCTCACGCCCCTCCGTGTCCTCCCCGCCTTGCCCGCCCTCCCCTCCGTTGCCCCCCCCCCCCAAACACACACATACACTTCTTTAACGTGTCTCGCCCACCCTCTTTGCCTCCTTCCCCCCCCCGCCCACCCTCCCGAACCCCCTCATCGCAGTGCTGCCGCGGCCCCGCGGCCCCCCCCCCCCCCCTCTGGGAGTCTGGCCTGCGTGAACTCACTCAGGACCTTCCAGAACCACTGCACCTGCTCGGACTGCGCGGTGTAATTGTGGTACCTCGCCAGCCCAGCGGGCCAAAACCACCGCGAGGACATGGATGAGTGGGAGTAGCGACAAGGCGGCTCGGAGGCGCGATGAGTCACGAATGCGTCCACTTCTCGCGGGATCAAGGCATGCGCGCCCACAGATGTAGCGCAGATTAATCCCACCAAACCTCTGGGCGTAGGTGGTCTAGAGAGGGATCTCTTCCAACCCCCTTTTTCCACTTCGGGGAGGGGGGGGGCCCTCCCCCTTGTCCCCTCCCATGGATCTGGACGGGGCGCCCTCAAGGCGTTGGAGCGTCCAAGATGGCCCAAGACGGCTCCAATAAGGCCTCGGAGCGTCCAAGATGGCCTCCGATATGGCGCAAGATGCTCAAGATGGCTCCGAGGATGCTCCAAGAAGCCTCAAAGACCGCTCCAGGACGTGTCCAAGTGGCCCGAGAGCTCCCCAAAGAGGCCCCCCAAAGGCCAAACTCCTTCCAAAGTATGCGGGGAATCTGTATTGTTGGAACATCTCGCCTTTTTGCAGCGGATGGCCTTCCGAGGCCTCAAGATGGCTCGATGATGGTTCAAGAGGGCCCCAAGAGGGGCCCAAGAGAGCCCCAAGACGACTCCAACAGAGCTCCAAGAGCGCCCCAAGAGGCGATGTTAGACACGCTAGAAGGGCAAGGGGACAAAAAAATACACTCTTTGGATCGATGTACTCCAAGATGGCCCCACCGGCGCCCCTAAAGCTCCCAAGGGCGCCCCAAGAGAACCCCAAGATGCGCGCAGACGGCTTCAAGAGGCGCCCAAAGAACATCCAAGAGACTCCCAAGAGACCCCCAAGAGGCCCCAAGAGGATCCCCGAGGCACCCAAAACGCTCAAACACAGCGCTGGCCCCGCCAAGATGCCCCCCCCCAGGCGCCCCAAGAGGGCTCCAACAGGCTTCCAGACGACATCCGAGGAGACTCCGAGAGGCATTCATGAACCTTCTGGCTCTTCAGTCCACACTTTTTCTCCTCGTCCTCCTCCGCCTCCTTCTCATGCTCCTCCTGCTCCCCCTCCTCCTCCACATCCGCTAAATCCTCCTCCTCCCTCCTGCCTCCTCCTCCTCCTCCTCTCCCTCCTCCTCCTCTCCCTCCCCCACCTCCTAACTTCCTGTCCTCCTCCTCCTCCTCCTCCTGGTTGTCGGTCCTTGTTATCCTCCTCTTCCTCCTCCTCCTCCTCCTCCTCCTCCTCTCCGCTCCTCCTCCACCTCCTCCTCCTCCTCCTTCTCCTCTTCCAACTCCTCCTCCTCCTCCTCGTCCTCCTCTTCCTCCGCCTCCTCCACCTCCTCCTCATCCTCCTCCTTCTCTTTTTCCTCCTCCTCCTCCTCCGCGTCCTGCTCCCCCTCACCCGCAAATTCATCATTCTTCCCCTTCCGCCAACATCCATCCATCCTCCTCCTCCTCCTCCTCCTCCTTTTCCTTTTCCTCCTCCTCCTCCTCCTCCTCATCCTCCTCTTTCTCCTCCTCCCTCGAACGATAACGACTGTCCCCCAGTTTGTTCCTACGCTTCCATGATCGTCTCAACTCGCCTGGGCGTTCGTTTGGGATGGGCTGGTGGGCTTCAGCGCCGCGGCCGCAGGCGAGCGCGCCAGCAGCGTCAGAGGTCAGGCGGGCTACGCGCGAACCCAATTGCCTAGCGCACGGGGACCGACGGCCGAACCTAAGCTGCCTAAGCTGCCCAAGCTGCCGGAGTGCGCGAGGTAGTGCCAGTAAGCGGGGCAGGGCCCGAAACCTTGCCGACGGGCGATGCAAACTGCAACCAGGACCAAGATCTGGGGGCAGCGCCGATGCACACATTGAACCAAGGAGCTACACCCAGCCAAAATGGCGCGGCAAGGTCACAGACAGCGAAGCTGACAAGTAGTCGCTGAGGGCGTGTAGGACTTGACGTAGGATATACCACACCACGGGTCCATGCACACAGCCCCTGAGGGGGGCAGCTCGCTTGCAATACACTCCAGGAGGTAATACTACCACCGATGGCCAGGAATACGTCAATGACCAGGAACCAGTACGAGTGGCGCCACCGAAATCGCATACTCACCCCTGAGAGAAAAGGTCCGGGGCAATCCCCTCTCCGAGAACGAGGGGAAGAGCCAGCCAGGAAAACGATGGAAGGGATCGACACAGAAAACCTGTACGGATCGGACACACGCCTGATGCTGCCAACCAGGACTACGATGGATCAGGTGGACCTCGAACGCCTGTACGGAATGGCAGCACGCATCGAACTGCCAAGTGAACTGCCGATAGCAGGGCTAAGCACCTCACCCAGGACAGCTGCATTAGCGTGGCAAGCGCCAGAAGCGAACTGGGAACGTCCGGCTGGCGAGGGGGGGCCCGAAAGGGAGTAAGGGCCAGAACGGAGCGTGGCAGTGCCGTCTTTGCGCGGGGAGCGGAGCAGCTCGGTGCGGGGCAACTGCCGAAAAGGCGCGGGGAGCGGATGGCGCCGAGGCGCGGTGAAAACACCTACAGCGAGGCCAAGGGCCAACTAGAACATGTGGACCACGGCCCCAGCGGCAGTCCACGTGTCGGTATTGTCACTAGGCAGCTGCCAGGGTCCCAAGGGCGGGGGGCAGCGGGTGCTGAAGGAGAGTGGAGGAGACCAGGAGAGCGGCTGAAGGCCGCACGTTCTATGGGGATACTTGTTTGGTCGCAGCCGCAGGCGAGAGCGCAAGCGGCGAGTCGTAAGTCCGGGGCGCGGGCCTACTAATTGTCAACAGGAGCAAACTAGAACTGCGCACCTAAACTGCCTAAGCTGTCTAAGCGGCGCCTCAAGTGAGCTGCAAGCTGCACTGAGTGTGGATGCCAGGGCCAGGGGCAGAAAGCGCACACACAGCGTCCATGCAAGGCGGTGGCTGCCAGGGTGTCTGCACTGCCAGGGGTGCACGCATGTAACGAGATTCTATGGGGATGAGAGAAGGAGGGGAAGAACAAGTCGGCTACACGCCAGAGTGACCCTGGGTAAGAGTGAATTTGTGCGCGGATTCAGGGGGTGCAGGGTGGCCAAATCCAAGCGCGCAGGCAGCCACTATCGCATCGCGCTCAACGATCGGGGGGACTCCAGTGAGCTCGCACCAAAGGTGACTCCAGCGAATGGTCACTCTTACGTGTCGACGAACAAAGGGGGGATCACAAGAAATCCCTTCCGGCATTGCCGCAGGCTGCTGGCGGCGCATCAGGCGAACCGTATTGGAGGCGGGAGCAGGGAGGGCGCAAGGCTGGGCACGACGACAATGCAGCGAAGGCGAAGACCGCGCGACGGCGCCGAGTAAATGTCCGCGACTAGGGGGGGCAGGAGAGCCCAGAATTGAATCGATTCGTCGGATCGGCGATGGGAATGACTCGGATCGGCGGAAGTAAATCGGCATCCGACTCGGGAGAAGTCGAATTGGCGGAAACCGACAGGCTAGTAGGCGGAGTCCAAATTGGAATCCGACGTCGAGTCAACTCGGAATCGGAAGCCGTCGAACTCCAATCGGATCGAATCGGAGGAATCGAAACGAGCCCTGGGGGCAGGAGGGACGACGCAACGCCAGGGACGAGGACGCACCGATGAGGAAGACGGCGACGACGACCATAACGAAAACCTCTGATCACGAGTGTAGCTCAAGATTGCTAAAACGCCCTTGGGACGAAAATCGTAAATGCTTCGGCTGCCCAAGATCGCCGGCGACGTCAGGCGAATCATAGCGGGTGGCGAAACTGGAACGCAGCCGCGGCGGCCATGGCCACCACTGTCCACGGCGGCCACAACCACCACGGCCGCCACGGTCGCCGCAATCACCACGGCCACCACAACTGCCGCGGCCAACGTGGCCGTCACAGCCACCACGGCCGCCACCATGGGGCCCGTTGGCCTCTGTCCGGTGCCCTCCGTTGCATCGGTCGCGCGTCCTCGATGGCTTCGGCTTCGTGATCCACGCGGCTCCCGTGAACTCGCTCCCGTGTCCTCCGTGGCCTCCGTGGCATCAGTGCCGTGCCCCCCGTGGCCTCGGCCCCGTGCTTCCCGGGGGGCTCTCGCTCCGTGTGCCCCGTGGCCTCCTCGGTCCTGGCTGTGTCCTTGTGCCCTCTGCGGCCCCGCTTCCGTGGCCCCCGTGGCTCCCGGGACCTCGCCTCCGTGTCCTCCGTGGCGTCGGCTCTGTGGTCTCCGTGGCCTCGTCCGCGTGCTCCGCCGCGTTTCCCTCGACTCCTGCTCCGGAAGTCCCGTAGTCTGGGCCCGTGCTGTCCGTGGCTTCGGTTCCGTGTCCTTTGCGGCCTCCGCTCTCTCGGAATCCAGAGTCCGGGCCCCTGGTCCCGTAGCCCGGATTTCCAGCGCTTGGAACGGTATCCACGCCCGAGATTACCGCTTCCTGGGGCGCTTGAAGCGGCATGCACGCCCGGGGATATACTGCTTCCTGACGGCATCCACGCCCGAGTTTACCACTTCACAGTGCGCTTGAAACGGTATCCACGCCTGGGTATACCGCTTCCTCGGGCGCTTGAAACAGTACCCACGCCCGAGTTAGCCACTTCCCAGTGCGCTTGAAACGGTATGCACGCCTGGGTTCACCGCTGCCCAGGGCGCTTGAAACGGGATCCAGGCCCAGGTTTACCGCTTCCCCAGGCGCTTGAATCGATACACCCGAGGGTTAGAGAGCCTTGCGAAGCTCCCTGGCAAGGGTTCAGGGAACCTTGCGGGGCTTCCTTGCAAGGACACTGAGAGCCCTACGAAGCCCCCCTGCCAGGAGAGTAGAGAACCTTGTGAAGCCTCCTCGCCAGGACCTAGGAGGGCCCTGCGAACCCTCCATTCAGAAGCGCGAAGCGCGACGACCGACGACGGCCGACGGCCGACGACGACGACCGACAACGAGGACGAAAATCCTCTGGCGGGCAGGCTAATCAATCTTTCGACGCCAGGGGCGCTGTCCCCCGCCCCAGGAGAGGAGGGGGGGGCCCTTTACTGCTCAGGGGCTCCCCTTATTCCCAATGCTACGATGGTGGTGGGGCCAACAGGCGAGGAGGGGGAGGAGGGGGCGGAGAAAGGAGGTGGAGGACCTGTCCAACCACGTCCCCCTCCAACGCGCTAGACTCCCTTCCCTCCGCCCTTCCCTCAGTAGTGTACGGGCATGTGTCTGAAGCCCCCAGCGGAGCCCACAGGCCCAAAAAGAGCCAAACGTACCCCTTCCCCTTCTCATCCTCCTGCCTCCTGCCCCTCCCACGCTTCCTACTCCTGTCCCCGCCGCTCTCCCACCCCAGTCCCCCTCCGAGTCCCCCCTAGATGGAGGCCGCAGAAGATGGGGGGGAGGGGGCGCGAGCAGGGTCACTCGGTGTTGGCACGCATGTCCTCGATGTCTATGTCCGGGAGCCCTGATATGAGGAGCTCGAGCTCCTCGGCAGGGCTCATGAGGCTAGTTCTCGGTCTCCGAGACCTCCCATGGGGGGGCTTGGAGGGCCTCTGAAAACCTCGAAGGTGCTCGGGAAAGCTCGGGGGGCCTTGGGGGGGAGGGGCATCGTGGGAACTCGGCTAAGCTGGCCCGCTGGCCCCATCACTGTCCTTGTCGTCGAACAGGGAAATGAGCTCTGCAGGAACGATCTCGTGAAGGCCCTTCAAGAACGCGTCGATCTGCTGGCGCACCGAGTCCGTCATCTTATGTTCCGCCACGAGCTGGATGTACTCGTGCTTGTTGTCGTTCGTCACTGGCAAATTGCGCCCGCCCGGCTTCAGGTCCACCACCTTCTGCTGACCCAACTCGTCGCTTTCGGCGGCGAAATTGAGCTCGATAATGTCTGTGATGTCGTGGTCCAGCATCCACCTCCCCATCCAACTCCACCTCCCCCTCCCCCTGCCCCTCCTCCTCCTCCTCCTCCTCTCCTCCTCCTCCTCCTCCTCCTCCTCCTCCTCCTCCTCCTCCTCCTCCTCCTCTTCCTCCCTCGGAATCGGTCCGCGGACCGATCCTGGAGCTTGCTCAAACCACGATTTCGAGGCAAGTCAGGCCGTGACCAACAGGGCCAACGCTTGACCTGGTATCTGTACGAAGTAGCGGGAAGGGAAAAGCTGTTTGGGACCATCCTGGGGCCTTCTTGGGGCCATCACAGAGATACAAGGCTAGGGGGGGGCCTCATGGGACGATTAATGAGTGATCGAACAAGCACGGCCTTGCAAGAGAGTGCTACAGAAGCGTTGAACATACTTGTTCCTCCTCCTCCTCCTCCTCCTACTCTCTCCTCCTCCTCCCCCTCTTCCTCCTCCTCCTCCTCCTCCTCCTCGTCTATCCCCTCCTCATCCTATTCCCCCCCTCTCCTCCTCCTCCTCCTCCTCCTCCTCCTCCTCCTCCTCCTCCTCCTCCTCCTCCTTCCTCCTCCTCCTCCTCCTCCTCCTCCTCCTCCTCCTCCTCCTCCTCCTCCTCCTCCTCCGCCTCCCCTCCTCCTCTCCTCCTCCTCCTCCTCCTCCTCCTCCTCCTCCTCCTCCTCCTCCTCCTCCTCCTCCTCCTCCTCCTCCTCCTCCTCCTCCTCCTCCTCTCTCTCCTCCTCCTCCTCCTCCTCCTCCTCCTCCTCCTCCTCCTCCTCCTCCTCCTCCTCCTCCTCCTCCTCCTCCTCCTCCTCCTCCCCTCCTCCTCCTCCTCCTCATCTCCCCCCCTCCTCCTCCTCCTTCTCTCCTCCTCCTCCTCCTTCTGCTCCTCCTCTTCCTCCTGCTCTTATCACGGAGTCGATCTGCAGACCTGTCCTGAGCGTGCTCTGACCGCGATTTTGCGGCGGATCCAGCCGTGGCGGCGCGGGCTCTCCCAGAGGCCCGCACCAAAACGAAAACGGCAACTCCTACCTCCCCATACTTTCCCCCCCACTTCAGGTTGGAGAAGTACTCTGGATCGAATGCCTCCAGGTCCACGGGTATGACCTTCTGGCCCAGCATGTGCTTGTAGAACCCGCGAGTGAACCAGGCCTGGCCGCGGGCACCCCAAAGCAACGAGCCGCTCCTGGGGGGAACGGCAACGGCAGAATGCCTCGGGAAACGCGGCCTTAGCACCAGAGTCAGAAACGCGCTGCGCCGAAACAGGGCGACAGCCTGCGAGGGAGAGCAGTATCCGAAGAGAGAGAGAGAGCGAGAGAACGAGGGAAGAGGGCGAGAGAAAGAGGGGGAGAACGAGAAAGAGAGAGAGAGAGGGAGAGAAAGAGAGAGAGAGAGAGAACGAGAGAAGAGAGAGAGAGAGAGAGATAGAGAGCGAGACACAGAGAGAGAGAGAGACAGAGATAATCATACACACATCTCTAACTCCCTTGCTGGTTTATCAAATGCAACGGGTTCTAGAGCGGGGCACGCCTAGATCAGTTGCAATCGAGCGCCTGCGAGTGACACACACACACACACACACATTCTCAGACGCGCTAGCTACTGAGGTCGAGCAAGTGGTAGCATCGAGCACGGTTAGTGGCAAGATGACCTCAACAGGCCTTTACTACCACCAATAATGAGCGAACATGTGTTTCCTGGCCCTAATTGACAGCTGTCGACACCCAACAACATTCGGCAAATAGTTAATCCTTCCGCGGCCTCAAACGTCACCGCCGTCGAGGAGGAAAAAGAGGCGGAAGGGGATGATGGGGAGGACAGGGACAAGGACAGGGCGAACCAAAAAACGCGCAGAGTCCATTTCCGGCCAAGAGCTTTGTTTGGGGGAGGGGCCGGCAGAACTAATGACCTCCTGAGGTTACGTCTCAACCTGTGTGGAAGCGGGCGTAAGCAGCGACCCTCGACGAGCGTCGAAGGCGTGAAGGCGCCGCAGCCGACTCTGGGCCACCAGGGGAGCGTCACGCAGGACGCGCTGCAGCACGAACTGAGCCCGATGCGAGAGTAGCACGCGCACAAGCATGCGCGCGCACACATCCAAGGCGCATGCATTGAGCAGGGACCGACCGTCCAGGCATTCCTGTAGGCCCACCACGACATGTGCTTAGGACCCCGAGATGCTCTAAGAACCAAAACAATTTTCTTAGAGCATCAATCCGATGTGTAAAACATGACAAACTCCGCCAGACATGTTCCGATAACATTTCGCACAGAACACAGAAGGATCTGACGGCATTCTTTGGTGGGCCTATAGACAAGCGTCGGCGGCGAGTGAAGGCCTCCTGAGAAGGCGGCGAACCTTCTCAGAAACCCTCGGGGCCTCCTAAGAGGTGTTCTGCGTCTTCGGGGAAGGCTTGGAACACTTTTCCGAAGGCTGGGGGACTCCCGAGCCTTCTGAGAAGACCCGCCTCTTCTCACTTCCCCCCCGGACTCGCCGCCAACACTCTTTCTCTGGTGCTCCCGTCTCGCGCTGGCATCCCGTTGCTGGTGTCGCTGGGCTCCCAGCCGACGAGCAACAAGCGCGCGCAGTTCGATCATCCTTGCTCCTACGATCGCCGGGCTCCCGCGCGCGCTCTCCCCCTCTTCGCCGTGTCTCGATGATTCTCAGGCTCATGCAGGGTCAGGTTGGGCCTGTCCCCCTACAGGGGGATCTTGGGCGAAACATGCAAATGTTCCAAACATATTCCAAACATAGCCAAAACAAATATCCCGGCGAAGGACCCAATCATATGCAGTTCTGAGTAACGCAATGGTAAATACCGTCCTGGGTGGAGTTCCCTATGGGGCCACGAACTTTGTGAGGAATGCGCCGACATGGGGGTGGAACTGCATGCGAAATGTGCCACTGGGGCCTTCGGTGGAGCTCCATATGGGGCCACGAACCGTGTGATGGGTGCGCCGGAACAGGGGTGGACCTGCATGCGAACTTTGCCATTGGGGCCTTCGGTGGAGATCCCTATGGTGCCACGACAAGTATGGGGGGTGCGCCGAAATGGGGATGGAACTGCATGCGAACTTTGCCACTGGGGCCTTCGGTGGAGTTCCCTATGGGGCCACGAATTTTGTGAGGGATGCGCCGACATGGGGGTGGAACTGCATGCGAACTGTGCCACTGGGGCCGTCGGTGGAGCTCCCCATGGGGCCACGAACCGTTTGAGGAGTGCGCCGAAACGGGGGTGGAACTGCATGCGAACTGTGCCACTCTGGCCTTCGGTGGAGCTCCCCATGGGGCCACGAGACGTGTGAGGGGTGCGCCGAAATGGGGGTGGAACCGCGTGCGAATTTTGCCACTGGGGCCTGCAGCAGAGCCACCTATGGGGCCACGAACCGTGTGAGGGGTGCGCCGAAATGGGGGTGGAACTGCATGCGAACTTTGCCACTGGGGCCTTCGGTGGAGCTCCCTATGGGGCCACGCACCGTGTGAGGGATGCGCCGACATGGGGGTGGAACTGCATGCGAACTGTGCCACTCTGGCCTTCGGTGGAGCTCCCCATGGGGCCACGAGACGTGTGAGGGGTGCGCCGAAATGGGGGTGGAACCGCGTGCGAATTTTGCCACTGGGGCCTGCAGCAGAGCCACCTATGGGGCCACGAACCGTGTGAGGGGTGCGCCGAAATGGGGGTGGAACTGCATGCGAACTTTGCCACTGGGGCCTTCGGTGGAGCTCCCTATGGGGCCACGCACCGTGTGAGGGATGCGCCGACATGGGGGTGGAACTGCATGCGAACTTGGCCCTTGAGGCCCTCGGTGGAGCTCCATACGGGGCCACGAACTGCGTGAGAGGGGCGCCGAAATGGACGTGGAACTGCATGCGAACTTTGCCATTGAGGCCTGCAACAGAGCTACCTATGGGGCCACGAACTGTGTGAGGGGTGCGCCGAAAAGGGGGTGGAACTGCATGCGAACTTTGCCACTGGGGCCTTCGGTGGAGCCCCCCATGGGGCCACGAACCGTGGGGGCGCCGAAACGGGGGCGGAGCTGCATGCGAACTGTGCCACTGGGGCCTTCAGTGGAGCTCCCTATGGGGCCACGAACAATGTGAGGGGTGCGCCGAATCGTGGGCGGAACTGCATGCGAATATTGCCACTGGGACCTTCGGTGGAGCTCCCTATGGGGCCACGAGCCGTGTGATGGGTGCGCCGAAACGGGGGCGGAGCTGCATGCGAACTGTGCCACTGGGGCCTTCGGTGGATCTCCCTTTGGGGTCACGAACCGTGTGAGGGGTGTGCCGAAATGGGGGTGGAACTGCATGCGATCTTTGCCACTGAAGCCTGCAATAGAGCTCCATATGGGGCCACGAACCGTGTGAGGGGTGCGCCGAAATGGGGGTGGAACTGCATGCGAACTTTGCCACTGGGGCCTTCGGTGGAGCTCCCTATGGGGCCACGAACCGTGTGAGGGGTGCGCCGAAATGTGGGTGGAACTGCATGCGAACTTTGCCACTGGGGCCTTCGGTGGAGCTCCATATGGGGCCACGAACCGTGTGAGTGGTGCGCCGGAATGGGGGTGGAACCGCATGCGAACTGTGCCACTGGGGCCTTCGGTGGAGCTCCCCATGGGCCACGAACCGTGTGAGGGGTGGGCCGAAACGCGGGTGGAACTGCATGCGAACTGTGCCACTGGGGCCCTCGGTGGAGCTCCCTATGGGGCCACGAACCGTGTGAGGGGTGCGCCGAAATGGGGGTGGAACTGCATGCGAACTTTGCCACTTGGGCCTTCGGTGGATCTCCCTATGAGGCCACGCACCATGTGAGGGGTGTGCCGAAATTGGGGTGGAACTCCATGCGAACTTTGTCACAGAGGCCTCCAGTATACCTCCATATGGGGCCACGAACCGTGGGGGGCGCCGAAAATGGGGGTGGAATTGCATGCCAACTTTACCGCTGGGGCCTTCGGTGAAGCTCCCTATGGGGCCACGAAACGCTGTACTGGGTGGGTGAAACGCAGGGAGGAGGGAGGAGGGCAGGAAGGATGAACGCGGGGCGCCGTCTCTTCAAAACGAGGACCCAACACCACAGGATGGTTGGGAATCGAAAGAATCGTCCCTACACTATTTTTGGACTATTCTTGGATCTTCCTCCTGTGGAGGGACAGGCCCGGACTTAACTCTTCCCCGTGTCTCGATAGTCCTCAGGCGCATGCAAAGGCGAAGCCATGTCCAAGCGGCCGCGCCGCCACGACAGCACCGAGGACAAAAACGCACCTCCCCTCGGCGGCCCGGCGCGCGGCAGCGCGGGCGGCCCTTCCGCGCCCGTGACCGCGAGAGGGCTCGCAGGTTAGGCAACGCTCCTCTGCTCCTCCTCCTCCTCTTCCGCCTCCTCCTCATCCTCGTTTCCCTTCTCCTCCACCTCCTCCTCTTCCTCCTCGTTTCCCTTCTCCTCCTCCTCCTCCTCCTCCTCCTCCTCCTCCTCCTCGACCTCCTCCTCCTCGTTTCCCTTCTCCTCCTCCTCCTCCTCCTCCTCCTCCTCCTCCTCCTCCGCCTCCTCCTCGTCCTCCTCTTCCTCCTCATTCTCTTCCGCCTCCTCCTCCTCTCTCCTCCTCCTCCTTCTCCTCCTCCTTCTCCTCCTCTCCTCCTCCTCCTCCCTCCTCCCCTCCTCCTCATCCTCCTCGTCCTCCTCATTCTCTTCCGCCTCCTCCTCCTTCTCCTCCTTCTCTCCTCCTTCTCCTCCTCCTCCTCATCATCATCATCATCCTCCTCGTCCTCCTCATTCTCTTCCGCCTCCTCCTCCTCCTCCTCCTCCTCCTCCTCCTCCTCCTCCTCCTCCTCCTCCTCCTCCTCCTCTCGTTTTCGTCAGCCTTCGCAGGAGGCGGCGAACCTTCCCAGAAACACTCGCGCCTCGCGCCCGCGGGCGCGGGCCCTCCCGCGGGCGCGGGCCCTCCCGCGGGCAGCCCCTCCGCAGTCGCGGGCCCTCCCTGCAAGCCTCCCGCGGGCGCTCCCTGGGAGAGCTCGCAGGGAGGAGCAGGAGCAGGAGGAGGAGGAGGAGGAGGAGGAGGAGCAGAGGAGGAGGAGAGGAGGAGGAGGAGAGGAGGAGGAGGAGGGGAACCAAGGAAGAGGAGGAAGAGGAGGAGGAGGAGGAGGAGGAGGAGGAGGAGGAGGAGAAGGAGGAGGGAAACGAGAGGAGGAGGAGGAGGAGGAGGAGGAGGAGGAGGAGGAGGAATAGGAGGACGAGGAGGGGAACGAGGATGAGGAGGAGGACGACGACGAGGACAAGGAGGAGGAGGAGGAGGAGGACGACGAAAAACGAGCGATGCCCAACCTGCGGGCGCGGACAGGGCCCCCCGCGCCTCCGCGCGCCGGGCGCCCGAGGGGAGGCGCGCCTTTGTCCCCGGCTGGGCCGTGGCGGTGCGGCGGCTGAGACATGGCGTCGTCCCCGCCCTGGGTCTTTGGACGCCCGAACTGGGCACCGAAAAAATGGGTACGATGCCCAACCGCAAATGCTGTCCCGAACCAACAGCGGCCGCTGTTGGGCAGGCGGCCTCCTGTCTCGAATGGACACAGGCCGCGGCGGCCTGGACAGCGGATCTGGTTCAAAATGAGCAGGAGCTGCTGCTGGGCATGGTACCCATTCTTTCCGTACCCATTTCGGGCGTCCAGAGGGTCGGCAGCGAGCCCGGGACCGCACCGGCTGCCACTGCGGCGGAGGTCCCCCCGCGCGTCCGCAATGCATCCCTTCGGTTGCGACGCAGGCGGTGCGCCGCGTGCGGGCCTGCGCAGGCTGCGGGCGGCCGGCCCGCGGGCCCGAAGGGAGCAGGCGCACACTGGGCCAACGCACGGCGGGAGGAGCGCGGGAGCCCGGAGGTCGCAGGAGCAAGGAGGAGGAGGAGGAGGAGGAGGAGGAGGAGCAAGGAGGAGGAGGAGGAGGAGGAGGAGGAGGAGGAGCAAGGAGGAAGGAGGAGGAGGAGGAGTCGGAGGAGGACGAGGAGGAGGAGGAGGAGGAGGAGGTCGCAGGAGCAAGGAGGAGGAGGAGGAGGAGGAGGAGGAGGAGGAGGAACGACGCGCGCTTGTTACTCGTCGGCCGGGAGCCCAGCGGCACCAGCAACGAGATGCCAGCGCGAGACGGGAGCACCAGAAAGAGAGGGAGAGTCGGCGGCGAGCGGGAGGGAAGGGAGAAGGGGCGGGCCTTCTCAGGAGGCTCGGAGGTCCCATGGCCTTCGGGAGAGTGTTCCAAGCCTCCCCCGAAGACGCAGAAATCTTTTAAAGGAGGGCGCGCGAGCTTCTGAGAAGGTCCGCCGCCTTCTGAGGAAGCCTTCTCCTTCTCACTTCACGACCACCCCCGTTCGCCGTCGGGGTTTGTGTACAGGCCCACCAAAGAGTGCTTTCAGATCCTTTTGTAGTCTGCGCGGGATGCTCTTAGAACATGTCTGGCGGAGCCAGTCCTGTTATAACACATCGGGCTGATGCTCTAAGAACATTGTTTTTGTTCCGCACCTCGCTCGCCGCCGAGAGAAAATGAGAGAGAGAGAGAAGGAGCCCATGACGTCCTTGGCGGCAGAAGGCCCTAGACAACGCTTTAGAACGCTTAGGCGGGGGAAATTCAGTCTGAGAGCACTCCAGAGACAGCTGAAGGGAGACCTCAAGGAAGGCCATACGGGAGGCCTCTAAGGTGGTCATATGGGAGACCTCCAGGGGGGGCCACATGGGAGACCGTGAAGGGATGAGCATGCCGGACACCGAACGGGACACCATCAGGCAGGCCGGCAGACAGGAGACCATCGAGAAGACCGCCAGGAGCCCGTTCGGGAGGCATGCGGGAGGCCACGCGGGAGGCCACACGGGCCACCGTGCGGGAGACCACGCGGGAGGCCCCACGGGAAAGCCAGGAGGGCACCGGCTCTGGGGCCGGCCGTGGCCTCCCGCCCTGATCTCCTCCTCCTCCTCCACCACCTCCTCCCCCACCACCTCCTCCTCCTCCTCCTCTTCCTCCTCCCCCTCCTCGTCCTCCTCCTCCTCCTCCTCCTCCTCCTCCTCCTCCTCCTCCCCCTCCTCCTCCTCCTCCTCCTCCTCCTCCTCCTCCCCTCCAGATGGGCCGGTACAGACAGGCTGCTCGGGCGAGAACGGAGAGCGGCCTGAGCGCCTGGCTGCATGGCAAAGAGAGGCGAGGGGTAGAGGAAGCGGATAGGGGGGGGGGGGGGGCACAAGCGGCAGAACGAGGATGGGCAGCCGTCATCAAGGCCCTGCAGGCGACGCACGGCCGCATCCCGCCTCCTCGACATGCACGCGCGCGCAACACTTACGACGCAAGCCCAGAGGGTAGCACGAGCCCGCGAGCCAATCACTCATGGGCACTTGACGCTAGATCAGTCAGCTTGCAAAGACAAGCATGGTAAATGAAGCGTCACGCACCATGCGATGGGAGATGGCAGCCAGAGAACGCAGCAGTGTGGCCTCCAGGTTCTGTCCATCATGGATCGCCTGTCGCGGCCCCTCGTAACTCGACGCATCGGGCGGTCCCTTCCCTGGATGCAACAGCAGTGGGGAACCATTGCATAGAGCTCCTCATGTTCCTCCTCTTCTCCTCCTCGTTCTCGTCCGCTCCCTCTCTCCCTCCTCCTCCCACTCCTCCTTTTCCTCCTCCTCCTACTCCTGCCCCTCCTTCTCCCTCTCCTCCTCCTCCTCCTTCTCCTCCTCCTTCTCGTCCTCCTCCCCTTGCTGCCACCATGTGAACTTGAATCCGCTGGCCTCTAACACACGGGGGGCTCATATCGTCAGACTGTGCCAGCCTAGGTAGCGACGGTCCCGACAAAGCGCTTCGGCGAAAGCGTCCCAAGCGGACAACCACGCGTAGACTCGCCAACACCAAGATTGGCCCTGGCCAGGAGTGACCTTCTGCCCGTGTAGGAGTACAGAAAAACATCAACTTGCACTTTGGGAGGTCCGTGGGGATCTCTTTGATCTGCGCTGATATCCCCCCTCCCTGGCGCGCGGGGCGCGCCAGGGGCGGCGCCTCAGGCGCCGCCAGGGGTTTTCCAGCGCAGATCCAAGACATCCGCGAGGAGCGTCGACCAGTTACGGGTATGCCGAACCTTCGTCTCCGGCCGTGGCCCCGCGGGTCCCAGCGCAGCTCCGAGAGATCTGCGAGGAGCGTCGACGGCTTGCGCGCACGCTGAATCTTCTCTTCCTCGGCCGTGTCCGGGCGGGCGCTGCTCCGCGGGCGGACCGCCCGCCCCCTCCCGGCCGCTCGAAGCGAGGCGCGCGCTCGCGTAGGCGCCACGGCCGCCCTGGCGCGCCTTGCCGCGCGTGGCCCGGGGCCCGCGCCCCAGACGTCCGACGTCGCTCAACGAGCGGCGAGCACATGTTGGCGGCGAGCCCCTCTTCGTCGTCCTGCTCCTCCTCCTCCTCCTCCTCCTCCTCCGCCTCCTCCTCCTCCTCCTCCTCGTCCTCCTCCTCCTCCTCCTCCTCCTCCTCCTCCTCCTCCTCCTCCTCCTCTTCCTCCTCCTCCTCATCATCATCATCCTCCTCCTGGGCGCAGCCTGGTGGCCGACAGAGTCTGTCCACCATCAGCCTGAGTGGAACGCTTGGCCAGGGACGCACCTTGCAACCGCCCTTGGCCACGCGGTTCGGACAAGACGCCGCACTGGCGTCGGAAGGCACGCAGAGGCCCCACTGAAGGGCCAGCGTGCTGGGCCTGGAAGACCAGACTGACCAACGGGTCTGACCTCAGCGGTGGCATACACAGCAAGAACCAGGAGGCCACGCCCAATGACCCATGAACCACAACGAACGCGGGCAACTCGGGAGGCTGGGATAGAAGGGGCGCCGGGAGAGAGAGCTCCAGGCGCCACAAAACAAATGCCGAAACACAAGCCAGCTCACAGCGTCCACACAGAGACGGGGGAGGGCTGCGAGCACGGAAACAGGGAACGCACAGAGGCGCAACCTGTGTCGCGTCGTCCTCGCCACAAGCTGAGCCGAGGCTCGCGCGGCCAATCGGCGAAGTCAACAGGCTGGGCAATACAATCCATGGATGAACCACCACGGGCTGCACGAGCCCACGTGACAAGAGAGGCACGCGGTAAGACCAGTAGCGAGATGGGCAAGGCCACAGAGGCGTGCCAAAGAGAGAGCTGCCAACATGTCAGGCATATGGAGCACTGCGAACGCGGCCAGTGCAGGCGCACGTACCACACACAGAGGCCTCACAGTCTAAGTCACCCTGGGCTTGACCTGAGACGACACACGGAACACCTTGCCATCGAGCCCGAATTCTCCTTTCGCTAGCCTCTTGAACACCTTGTGCGCCCAAATCGGTGAACACTGGAGGGCATGGGTTCTCGAGGTTGGGGGCACTAGAGGCGGCAGCTGCGGCAGCTCATGCTCAATGCGTGCAACCAGCAAATAAGGGCCGTCTTGCAACTGAATGCGTGCAAGAGCATGCGCCTCTGATCCCGCGCCCAACTTGACCTGAGCACCAAACACACGACTCACGATGTCTTTGGGCACGGGCTCCCGCACATGGACCAGCTGAGTCACGGGGGGCTTCCCACGGGGGTGCTTCTTGGGATGCCCACAGTCGGACAGCCCATCCGACTGACACACAATTCAAGAGCCCCACCACTTCAAAACTTGACGCCTCGCTTCGAAATGCTTCGAAGCACTGAAAGTGATACGGGGACACTTGGCTGCACCCCTGGCCGCCTCGTCGGACTTTGACTTGCCGAAATGATAGAGGTCTGTCGTGCGACCAAGCTGAACATCGACTAAGGCCGAGTGCCCTTTTATACTTCACAATGTGAAAGTCTCCCCCCAGTTGACGACCAACCTCCAGCACTCCCTCCAGATGTAAGCGTGCGCAGCGACGCAAGAGGTAATGGCCTCGCGGCCACGTTCGTGAAACCGTCAAGAACCAACCGCGAGTCAGTATGCAACCGCACGGGTGGCATGGCAAAACGTGAAACATGAACGACAGCGACCAGCTCCGCAGCACTGATGCACTGCATGGGGTCCAAAGAGGGTCCAGACACACACTCGAAACAACGCTGCTACGCTCAGGATGAAGCGCCACGAGCCCCCAGCCCACGCTGGCAAGACTGGGATATTCTGCTTCAAAAGCTGAGCCGTCGGAATAAAACGTCGCCTGTGAACTCGAAGGGGCCTCCTAGCCCCAGACAAGTGGAGGCCCTGGAGGCGGCCGCTCGAGCACAAGGAAGGTACAAGGCACCGCCCTGCAAAAGTCAGGTCGGGTTGCGAGAAGGCTGCGGCCTTGGCAGTGCTGGCAAGAAACGTCGGTGAGTCATCAAGCTCGGGCCCGGGACAACCGCAGTGCCTGTGCAGGAGCGAACCTTCGGCCTCTGGGCAAAGAACACAAAAAGGGGTGGTCGCATAGCCGGCCGCCCAGTGACGCTTCTGGGGCCATTGGCCCCCAACAACCGTGCTGCGAAGGTGCGCCTTGTGCAAAGCGCTACTGGAAATGCCGAGCAACTTCTGCAGGGGACTGAGCAAGAGTCCTTGGCGAAACGTGGGCTGCTCGAGGTGCAGCCACTTTGTCACGCTGCCACAACTCAGCCGCACGTTACAAGAGGGCCTGGATAACGAGGAGGCAGTATTCAGCAGGGTCTCCTCCTCCTCCTCCCTCCTCCCTCCTCCTCCTCCTCCTCCTCCTCCTCCTCCTCCTCCTCCTCCTCCTCCTCCTCCTCCTCCTCCTCCTGCAAGCGCCGCGGCGGGTCTCTCGCCGACTCCCGACCCGCGCGCGCCCCCACGCGGACTCTGGCGCTCCACGGGGCGCGAGACGAACAGGTACCGCTCCTCCACGCTGCAGCGCCCCGCCCGCGCCGCCGGGCCGGCGAGCCGGCGAGCGCGGCCAGCAGCGCGGCGCGGGCCGCGAGCTCAACGCTCCCGGCCGAGCGAGCTGCGCAGCTGCCGCGCGGTGGCGCGGTGCAGCGCGCAGCTCAGCGCCGCGCCGCAGCGGCGGGCCAGCGCGCCCGCGCCCGCCCCGGCAGGCCCGTCCCTGGCCCGTCCTCTGCTCGTTGTGCCGTCCTGGCCGCGGCAGGCCCGTCCCCGCCGCAGCGACGCGCCAGCTCTGCTCGTTGTGCCGTCCTGGTCGCGGCAGGCCCGTCCCACAGCGCCTGGTCGCGGTCCCGCGCAGGCCAGCGCAGGCGCGGCCCCGCCCAGGGCGGCCCCCAGAGCCTCGGGCGGAGAACGAAGGCAGGAGGAAGGCACAGCCTGGGCCAGAGGCACTTCCAGAGGCCTCCTGGATGGGGTCCGAGTAGGTGGGGTCGAAGGATCGCGCCGCATTTCCAATGCACCGCCAACGCATCGTCGATGTATCGGCGATGCATCGCCGATGCCTCGGAAACGTCGGCGATGCATCGGCGACGTCGACGTGAAGAAGATCGGGCTCCACATCGAGCCGCATCCAGGATGCGTCGGCGATGAGGCGCGATCCCCCGACCCAATCTGCTCCGACCCCATCTGGGAGGCCTCGAGGGCCAGCGGGCACCGCGGCCGTCCCTGGGCGCTCCGGGGAACCCTGGGGGTGCTCCAGGACGTCCCGCAGCGGCCTGCCTCACGTCCTGGGCCTACCCCGCAGGGGCCCATGACTGGAGAAGGCCGGGCAGCATGATCTGCCCGAGGCGCCAGAGGACTCCTGGCTCCTGTGCTGCTGCGAGGGCGCTACGCGCACCGCGGGGTGCTGCACCGCCCGACGCGCCCCGCACGGCACCACTCCGACAGGCTCCTCGGGTCGCGACCGTCCCCAACGGCAAAAGGAGTGCACAATGAGTAGATGGGCGCGCGCGCGCACAGGGCATGATGGCGCCTCATCTTCGGGATTCCATGCCTGTCAGGATGGCTCGATGACGGCGCGACATGGCACCAAGATGCGGCACGGCTCGAGAAAAAACACCAGATCACGGTTGGTTTGAAAGCGCGCATGCAGCACAGAATGGCAGAGCACGGCATCACGGCACGGCACAACGAGCAGAAGAAGAAATTACCACGGGCACCCGCCAGCTGGTGGCATCGGGCCGTGCCGCTTCTCGCACGCCCCCCCCCCCGGCAGGTCGCCCATCAGTGGCTCCACCTCATCCCACACCTCTGCCTCCTCCCACTGCTGCTCCTCCTCCTCCTCCTCCTCCTCCTCCTCCTCCTCCTCCTCCTCAACTTTCCCAGACATCTGGCGGCTCGGAGACATCGAGAGGGCCCACTTTCGCCAGATTGTGCATTTGGAGACTGGCTTGGGCCACGAGGCCATGAAAAACTTCTCAGGACGAGGAGCCGGCCCTGCTGAAGGGGTCGAGATATCCCGGGGCGCATGTCTGGAAATAACAGAGCCAGCCGGTGTCTGGGTCCAGCTCAAACCACTCTACCTCCCTCCCCTTCCCCACCTCCATCCTCCTCCTCCGCCTCCTCCTCCTCCACCTCCTCCTCCTCCTCCCTCCTCCTCCCTCCTCCTCCTCCCCCTCTCCTCCTCCTCCTCCTCCTCCTCCTCCTCCTCCACTTTACTCCACCGTCCGCCTCCTCCATTTCCTCAACCCGCACTCCACAACCTCTGCCTCCATCTCATATCCCGCCTCCACAACAACGACAATTGGCCCCCTCTCCCGCAGGGCCCAGCACGGGGGCACCCCCACCTTCCCGATGACCCGGCCGATGAAACGGAAGAACTGGAGGTGGTCGCGGTTGACCACGCCAGACATGGGGTTCGGGTGGTAGGTGCACGCCTGTGCCGCTGCGCGGCAGGCTGAGCTGGCTCGCTGGTTCACCACTTGCGCGTCGCACCCCCCGAAACAGCCGCCAAGCGAAGCGATGCAGGACATAGCGGGGGCACGTCGAATAATTAGGCCGGCCATCTGGGCGGACAAGAAAACCCTTGGGCACCCGCCGCCTTTGCTCGATCGCACCACGACTGAACGACGGAGGATTAACGGGAGGAGGATGAAGCATGGTAGGGTATGTATAAGAGGAGGAGAAGGCAGCATCAGTTTGAAGAGGAAAGATAAGACGAGAAAGGTACATGTCTCTTGGATTCGCGCGGCGCTGAAGCGAGAGTCGCAAGTGAAAATCACGGACGTTCCATCCTTGTAACTGTCGGTGTTTCGTTTAGTTTCAGGACCGAACCCTCTGGCGAAACGCTACACGGGAAAAAAACATGTGCTTCCAACTCGGGGCCACCCATGTTAGATACCCCCCTGGGTGGCCTGTACGCGTGGAATCACATGGCTCAAGCCCTTGAAGAGAATAGAGCAGGAGGCGAAGGAGGCGAAGATACGAGAACATGGGGAAGCCGAAAAAGTGCACCTGTATGTGTCTACGCACACGCACATACATACATACATACATACATACAGCCACAGACAGACAGACAGACAGACAGGCAAAACAGACTGATATATATATATATATATATATATATATATATATATATGTATATATGCATACATATATGTATATATAGTGTAGCCAGCAAGGATCCAATATAGCGTCTCTTGCAGTATGGCGGGTTCTGGGATCCCTCTACCCAAGTGCTGCATCTCTTGAGGGGCGAGTTGTATTTCCGCCTGCTTCTGCCAGGTTCCGCCGACCGAGAAGCCGCCGTTCTACTTCCGCCGCCTTCCGCCGACCTTCCGTCGCATTCCGCCGAAGAGCGCCGAAGAGCGCCGAAGAGGTGATGCGACTCCTTCGCCCCTCGAGGGCGAGGCCCCTTCTGGAACGCCTCATAAAGTATGACGTCGACGTAGAGCAATCCATATGTGCAAAATGTGTGGCGCAGTTTGTGCGGTGCGAGATGTACGCGGTGAAAGCCCCGTTGTGTAATATATTTGTGGTGCACGCTACGTTGTGCAATTTACTTGCCGAACTTGACGTTGTCAATTCCACTGCTCGCGCAATCATCCCACCCGCCCACCCGCAACTTGGTTTGCAAAACCCATGCGGGAACGATTGCGATGAGTGCTGGGTGTTGGTTGGTGCGTCTGTGCGGCCGCGCTCGTCCGCGCATGCTCGCGCGCGCAACGGCCAGCTAGTTACTGCGACCGACGCGAACGCGGTGGCGCTGACCGCTCGGCACATCCCATCGAGCACTTCAGTGCGAGTCGGCGACTTGGGCAGGCGCGGTATCATGGCAACGTCGGCACCAGTAGACACGATTATGATAGTAGCGATGCTGGCGACGATGCTGGCAGCGACGACGGGGCAGCCAATGACGGCGCCGATGCCGATCACGCCGACGACGATGACGGCGTCTTCGCGTCGGTGATGACGGCGTTGGAAGGAGTTCGACATGAACACGCGGCAGACGCGCGAGAGTTGCTCGCATAGTACCATTCGACTCGGAACGTGCCAACCCGACACGCGCGCAAAGGGCGCCCGAACGATTTCGACATGAGCGCGCGCGAAACCCGCTTGGTACATACTATGAAAATGTTGAAGAACGTGTGGCTCCCTTAAGTACTCGCAAGAACGAACGCGCACGTGTTTGTTGAACTTCCGTGTTGCGGAACATGTTTTTTTCCGTCTTGTTGGACACTCGATTTTGAAATCCTTCCGAAGCCGAATGTACTTGAAGGATTTCGGCATGCGCTCGCGCGGACGCACGCGTGCGCACTTCGTCACATAATCTGCCAGAGATTATCGGAAACTTGAAAGGTTTGATAAACGAATGCGCGCGCCTTGCATGTTTGTGCAGGGGAACCGAAGGGGGGCGATACCGGTTTGGCTGGGATGATCTGAGTTCACAGGTAGGATGGGCGTTGGGTCAGACTCACGTGTTTTGCAAAAGTTCCCGGGGATTCGATAAGTCCCGGGGGGGAGGGTGGTAGAACCTACTTGGTTTAAGAATGGGGAATATGTGTGGTGCGTTTTTTGGGGGGCGGAGCAGCCGACGTGGTGCAATTGATCTGTTTTCGCTGTGGGTTACCAACTCCACTGCTCGCGCAGTCATCCCATCCACCCACCTAACACTTTGTATGCAAAACCCATACGGCGACGATTACGATGACTACTTGGTGCTGGCTGGCGCATCGCGGCGACCGCGCTAGCGCGAGCAGGCTCGCGCGCACAGCGGCCAGCCAGTCTGGCGCGACCGAAGCGGCCGCGGTGGCGCTGACCGCTGGGGACTCCCCAGCGCGTCTCGCAGGCCGCGTTGGCGCGCGGGTAGTCCAATGCGAGTCGGTCACTCGGGCGGGCGCGGTACAATGGCGTCGACGACGACACTCACGATGAGATATTACAGATGCTGGTGACGATGGCGACGAAGACGGCGGCGAGGCAACTGACGGCGCCGATGCTGATCACGCATGGCATTAAACCCAGTGTCGGAAATGAACGCCTTGGGGGGGATCTATACATGCGCGCGCGGCCGAAGGGCGCGAGTGGCCCGCATGGTGCTAGTTCACAGGGATTGCGCCTCCCAGCTAGCGGGCAAAGGCGCTCGAATGATTTCGACATGCGCGCGCGAGAGGCCCGCGAAGCCGCATTTTAGGAAGAGGTTGAAGACTCATGGTTGTCGTAAAGATCACGCCAGACTTCTGGGCGTAGGTGGTCTGGGGAGGCTCTTCTTCCACCCCCCTGTCTTCCCCTTCGGGAAAAGGTTTATCATTACTTCTTATGAGTAAACACCCCCAAACCCCCACCCAACCGGCCGATAGCAACCCCGCCGTCGTAACTGTTAAAAACATTACAAACTCAATTTGTTTTTGCCAGCATGTCGTCGAGTTGCGAAAAGAGTAGCAGGAACATGACGGAATTCGCATCGCTTGGGTTAACCCTGAGCGGGCTGTTGCGTCCTACGTTTCGAACCAAAAACATGCAACGTCGACGTTTTCCTCGGCAACATGGGCTTTCTTGTCGCCGACGCTGCGAAAGTGTAACAGGGAAGTGACGGAATGAACATCGCCCTTGTGAACCTAAGCGGGCGGTCGCGTCCTACCCTATGAAAAACAATAAAGACAAAGCCATTATTTTCTCGACAACATGGACTGTCTTGTCGTCGACGCTGCGAAAAGTGTAGCAAAAAAAAACGCGGCGCACATCGCGCGCAGACGCCTGGCCAACCCTACGCGGGAGACCCGTCCTACCTGCCACAAAAACACAGCAACGTCGACGCTTTCATTGCCAACATGTGTTTTCTCCTCGTCGGCGCTGCGCATCGCGTAGCGGAAATGGGACGCCCCACGAACTCCCGAGGGGCAGTCCCCTCTTCCTCCTCAGTTTCTCCCTCCCGCCCTCTCTCCCTCCCCTCCTGCTCCTCCTCCTCCTCCTCCTCCTCCTTTTCCTCCTCCTCCTCCTCCTCCCCCTCCTCCACGCGCGGCAGGAGCGAAACGATTTGCGGTGCAACGCGCGTGGCTGGAATGAGACGCGGCGCACTTCGCGCGCTGGACATGTTGTCGCCGACGATGCAACATGAGAGGCCGGAGCGGGGCGCGGCGTACCTCGCGCGCGGTTTTGTTTCTCGTCGACGTTGCTCAGCACGCGGCAGGAATAGGACGCAGCTCATATCGCGCGCTGAACGTCTAGCCGCCCACGACATAAGATGAGCGACAGGCGTCGGACGCGACGCACTTGCTTCTTATGTTGTGGGAGGGCGGGTGGGAGTGGACGGAGCCCTCTGGCTCGTTCGAGCTAGCTAACTGGACCCCTCCCCTTTATCCCCTCCCCTGGACCTGGAGGGCGACGTTCGCGAGCGGTCAGAGCATCTGAGATGGCCAAAGACGGCTCTGGTTTCCTCCCCCCGTTTCCGTCTTTTCATGGTTCTTCCTCAACCATATTTCTACCACTCCTCCCTATCCACGTCGTCGTTGTCGTCGCCCTCCTTCCCCTCGTCTTGCTCATCCTCCTCTCGTCTGTTCCCGTTCCGACTTCATCATCTTCCTCGTCTCCCTGTGTGTCTTCCTTCTCCTCCTCTGCTGCCGAATACCTGTCTGTCGCGAGGCCTAAGTCAAACATCCGGCAACTGGTGGCTCGTAGCATCAGTTCTGTAAGTGCTTGTTCCAGCGCGATAGCCTTACCAGTTTTTTGGGGCACGGTGGACATGTGAGAAAGGCACCTGCTAGTAATGCAATGGTCGTCGCTGCGCATCCCCCCGCACGCACGACCGACTCCACGCACCAAGCCGCAGTCGAGCAAGTCCCCGCACGTATGCCTCCATCCATATGCACCTGGACGCTCGCAATCGAACAGCTTTCGGCATTTATGATCCCTGGTCGAGGGTTCGCAGGCCCCTCCCCTGACGGGATGAGCCCCAGGGTTCCACAGGCGCCCCCCGCCCCCCAGATGGGATGGGGGGGCGACGACGCCGACGCCGAAGCCGACGCCGCCGCAGCCGCCGCCGCCGCCGCCGCCGACAAACGAAGACGACGACGACGAAGACGACGCCGACGACGAACCACCCCACACCCACGGGGGGAGGGCGGTGGGCGCCCTGACGTCTTCCGCCACGCCACACCCACAGGGCCACGACCACAGGGGTGGGTGGGGGGGGGGGACGATCCCATTCGCAGGGCTTTCGCGAGGCTCACGGGCGGACGCACCCAGCGGGGGGAGCGGGGGCTCCATCCCACAATTATGCGTTGGCGGGGGGGAGGGGGGGGGTCTACCCTGGCCCTGGATCATATAGCCGTCCAGCTCGCACCCACGACTCGCGGCTGCATGTTGTGCAGTTCGCTGGGCAGTGTGCTGTAACATTCCACTCACTCTCGCCCGCACCAGCAAGTCCCGTCACCAAAATTTCGCGCGCCAGACGACAACCAAACTCGCGCCCCTCCCCCCTTTCTCTGTCCCCCTCGTCCTCCATCCTCCCCGTTCGTCTCTTGTCCTGCTCAGCCCGCTCCTCTTTTCTCCTCCCATTCGTACTCCCATCCTCCTGATCTCTCCCCTCCCGCCTCTTTTCCTCCTCCCCCTCACTTTCCATGGCCATTCTCCTCATCCCTCCTCATCGCGTCTCCCTCGTCCCACATGTTTCTAACGACCATTTCTGATGACATCTGGGAACGTTCAAGCCCCCTTCTGACCCCCCAGAACCTGGAACCTCTCCTCCTCACTATGTTCCTCCTCCTGCTCCTCTCAGCTGCCCTTTCGCGTGTGATTGAGCAGCTGTCTGCGGGTGAGGCTCGGCCTTGCCACCCGCCTGGACGAAGAGGGCGTAGTTGGGGTTGAAGATCTCCTGCGGCCAGGCCGGGAGGAAGGTGGGGAGGAGTGCGCCGCCTCCCCCTCCTCATCCCAGCACCTCCCAACCCGCTCCCCCCCCTCCCCGCGCCGCCCCCCTCCCGGCCCGTCCCTCCCACCCCCCCCCCCCCCCTCCCCAACACCCATGGCAGTGCCCTGCGCCGCTGGTGGCCGCGGAGAGCAGGGAGCGCGACGTGTCATCCCTCCCCCCCTCCTCCTCCTCCTCCTCCTCCTCCTCCTCCTCCTCCTCCTCCTCCTCCTCCTCCCTCCTCCTCCTCCTCCTCCTCCTCCTCCTCCTCCTCCTCCTCCTCCTCCTCCTCCTCCTCCTCCCTCCCTCCTCCTCCTCCTCCTCCTCCTCCTCCCCTCTCCGCCGAGGCCTTCCCCCCGCCCCCCCCCGCCCCCGCGGGCAGCGGGAGCGAGGCTCGAGGCGGGGGCCGCCCCGGCCCCCTCGCCGGGGGGGCCTCGGAGGCGCCTCCCGTCGCCGCGCCCGCTTCCCCCCGGAACTCCTGGCCACGTCCACACATCCACACATCCACACACATCCACACTTCCACACACACACACACATCTGCACAAACGCACACACACACAAGCGCACACAAGCGCACACAAGCGCACACAAGCGCACACAAGCGCACACAAGCGCACACAAGCGCACACAAGCGCGCACACACACACACACACACACACACACACACACACACACACACACACACACACTTACACTTTTTGGCGTCGCGGGCCCGCGGCGCAGCGACAGGGCGCAGCAGGGCCTGAGAAGCGGGCGCGCGCGCGCGTCTAAAGGCCGAGCCCTCAATCCGCTTGGGACAGGCAACGCCGCCAGCCGGCCACAAATCCTTCGGGTCATCCCTCTTCTCCATCCGTGCCCCCTGTCACTGAGCAGCAGCCTCTCCTTTGCCAGGGCGCTGTACCACTCCTTGCCGACGCCGCCCGCGTCGATACCCTCCTCGCCCTGGAACTGGACCTCGGGTGCAAAATGAAGAGGAGGCACATTCGAAGAAGGACAAAAAGGATGCAGACCATGATGACTGAGGGGGAAGAAAGGGAAATGAGGAAGGCGGGTGGGATGAGAAAGCGAACGAGAGAAATGAGGAAGAGCAAGAGGATTCCACTGCAACGCGGGACGAATGTACGTCTGGCCCGTATGTGACACGATCCGCCTGACGGATGTGCCAAACCGGGCAGGGGGAACGCATGTGAACGCCCTCGCTGGGGACGGCAAGAAATGGAACTCCCTACGCTTCACGATCCGCGTGAGGAGTGAGCAGAATTGGGAGCAGGGGCGCCATGTGGACCCTCCCACTGGGACCATCGGTGAAACTCTGCATACACCGCGATCCGCGTGAAGGGTGCGCCGAAAGGAGCGTGGGAAGACCAAAAAGACACCCCTACTGATGCCATATGTGGAGATCCCTATGGGTCACGGTAGACGCGAGGGGCGTGCCGGAATTAACAAGTGGCACGCGTGCCATGGCTCTTGCACAAAACGGAGGGGGAAGGAGGAAGAGGAGGAGGAGGAAGAGGAGGAGTAGGAGGAGGAAGAGAAGGAGGAGGAAGAAGAAGAGAAGGAGGAGGAGGAGGAACGGGGGGAAAGAGGGGGCGAGAAATCGGAGGGGGCGGGACGGGGGGGGCTGTGCGACGTAGAAATGAAATGGTCGGGGCGGAGGGGGGGCGGGGTGCACTGGGCGGGCGGGGAGGGGGGAACGATCGCAGGGGCGGGGCGGTGGGGGCCGTGCGACGCCGAAATAAAATGGTCGGGGCGCAGGGGGTCGCACTGGTGATGGTGGTGGTGGTGGTGGTGGTGGTGGTGGTGGTGGTGGTGGTGGTGGTGGTGGTGGTGGTGGTGGTGGTTGGCGTGGGTGGTGCGGGGCGGTGGGGGCGGTGCGACGCCGAAAGAAAGTGGTCGGGACGGAGGGGGCCGGAACGCAGAGGGCACTGGGCGGCTGGGGAGGGGGGAGCGGTTGGAGTGGCTGGGCGGGGGGGGCGGTGCGACGCCGAAATTGAATGGTCGGGGCGGAGGGGGGCAGGGTGGGGAAGGCACTGGACGTGGGGCGGTGTCGCGCTGGTGGGATGCGGGGGGTCTCGGGGCAGAGAGCCACGGCGCGGGGGTCCCACTCTGGCGTTGGGGGCGCGGGGGAGGGGGGGGGGGTGCGACGTGGAATAAAGCGTTCGTGGCGAAGGGGGAAGTGGGCGGGGCTCCCGCTGGGGCGCTGGGGACGCGGGGGGGCTCGGGGCAGAGAGCCACGGCGCGGGGGTCCCTCTCTGGCGCTGGGGGCGCGGGGGAGGGGGGGTGTGCGACGCGGAATAAAGTGGTCGGAGCTCTAGACACCCTGTGCAAGAGAACACGCTGAGAGTAGAGACAAGGAGAAGCTGGGGGAGGCGGGAAAGGGAAGAGGCTGGGCGAAGTGAGACGCGCTGAGCTGGGGGGTCAAAACGAGGACGCATCAACAACACAGAAGGGCTGCAAGCAAAACAACGCAGCGCAATACTAAGAAACCATCGAATCAGCCGAGCGAGAACACAGCGCAAAGTTAATAGGGCGCGTCGCTGCCACCAAGAAAGGAGGATGGACCCCCCTTCCGATCCATTGATTGGAACCCCCCTCCCCACTTTGTGAAGCTGCGGGCTGGACCCTTACAACTCTCATCCTGTCAGCCAGAAATCCAAATCAAAATTCCCCAGTCTTGCCGTCCGAACGGTCTCTCTGAAAATCAGCCCTTACCCAAATCCCCAACCATACTCAATAACCCGACCCCAACACCGAAGCCCTAGCGCCTACGCCCTTACAGTATACCATAATTACAAACCGTGCACTCTCGCGGGCGAATCTGAATCCTCGAGTGTCCCAACTCTAACACTACCTCGAAGCACTGGCCCCATCACACCATGCCGAACACCTGACCACACACCTTACCCAATAAACCGAATCCTCGCACCCAAGTCGTTACCCCTCAGCCAAAGCACCCGAATTCGAACAGCCTGAACCTAACCCAAAACTCAGCTATCATACACAGAACCGAACACAAGAAGACGCCACACTCAGAGCCCTGAACGTGAAACAGTCTCCATAAAAGCATAGTCTTAACCCTGATATCCCAAATAGAAAGCCCAATCCTCAGCACCAAACCCGACAATAAACTCTAACTCGATTCACCCCATGGCAACGCAAAATTGAAAAAAATGCGATCCTCATCTCCACGTCGCGCGGCAACGCATGGGATGCAGAACGCGCCCGGTTCGATCCAACCCGTCGCACGGCGAAACATGGGGTTCTACACACAAGAAGAATTCACTCTACTCATCGCGTGGCAGCGCACGCGGACAGGAAGCTCATCTACTGACTCGACTCGCCACAAGGCGATGCACAGGGGATACAACAACAACGCATCATGTTACAAGTTACCGCATGACAGCGCAACCTAATCCGCACCGCAAATTAAAAGGCAGCACAGAGGGCGGAACAAGGACCCTTATAATCGAATAGTCGAGTGGCAAAGCAGGGCGAGGCACGGGAGATGGACAGCAACATTATTATGGTTTACTCCGTGCTCGCATGGAAGCCGAGGGACGCAGAACACAGACAATCACATTCCACTCGTCATATGCTAGCACAGCTTCTAGCTATACCTCGTTCCTCGCGTGGCGAGGGGGGGGGGGCGGCGAAAGCCATGTCATTATACGTTACTCGTCGCATGGAAGCGCATGGCGGCGGAACATAATATTGTTACTCGCCTTGTCGCGTGGCAACTCATGGGGGCCAGAGCAGGTACCATTCTACTATTGTCGTGTTTTTGTTCCCAACCATCCTGTGGTGTGGGTCCTCGTTTTGAAGAGACAGCGCCCCGCGTCTCCTTCCTCTCCTTCTCCTCCCCCTCCTCCCTCCTCCCATCATCATCACCCATTTCGGCACACCCCTCACACGTTCCGTAGCCCCAAAGGGAGCTCCACCGAAGGCCCCAGTAGCGGTGTTCGCATGCGTCCCCGCCACCCTTTTCGGCACCCCCCTTCACACGCTCCGTGGTCCCATGGAGAGATCCACTGAAGGCCTCAGTGGCGGCGTTCGCATGCGCCCCCGCTACCCATTTCGGCAAACACCATCACACGTTCCGTGGCCCCATAAGGAGCTCCACCGAAGGCTCCAGCAGCAGTGTTCGCATGCGTCCTCGCCACCTATTCCGGCACACCCCTTACACGCTTCGTGGCCCCATAGGGAGCTCCACCGAAGGCCCCAGAAGCGGTGTTCGCATGCGTCCCCGCCACCCATTCTGGCACACCGTTCACACGTTTCGTGGCCCCACGGGGGGTTCCACTGAAGGCCCCAATGGCGGTGTTCGCATGCGCCGCCACCCATTTCGGCATACCCGTCACACGTTTCGTGGCCCCATAGGGAGCTCCACGGAAGGCTGCAGTGGCGGTGTTCGCATGCGACCCCGCCACTCGTGTCGGAACACTCCTCACACGTTTCGTGGCCCCATAGGGAGCTCCACCGAAGGCTTCAATGGCGGAATTCGCATGCGTCCCCGTCACTGATTTCGGCACAGTCCTCACACGCTTCGTGGCCCCATAGGGAGCTCCACCGAATGCCACAGCGCATGCGTCCCAACCACCAAATCCGGCATTCCCCTCACACGCTTCGTGGCCCCATGGGGGGAGAGAGCTCCACATAATGCCCGAGTGGCGGTGTTCGCATGCGTCCCCGCCACCCATGTCGGCACACCCCATCACACGTTTCGTGGCCCATAAGAAGCTCCACCGAACACCTCAGCGGCGGTGTTCGCATGCGTCCTCGCCACCCATTTCGGCACACCCCTCAAACGCTTCGTGGCCCGTGAGGTAGCTCCACCAAAGGGCCAAATGGCGGTGTTCGCATGCGCCCCCGCCACCGATGTCGGCACACCCCTCACACGTTTCGTGACCCCATGAGGAGCTCCACGGAGGGCTTCAGTGGCGGTGTTCGCGTGCGTCCCCGCCAACCATTGCGGCACACTCCTCGCACGCTTCGTGGCCCCATAGGGAACCCCACCGGACACCCCAATGGCGGTGTTCGCATGTGTCCCCGCCACCCATGTCGGCACACCCCTCACACGTTTCATGGCCCCATAAGGAGCTCCACCGAAGACGATACCCACACCTGCGTTACTCACAACTGATATGGTTGGGTCCTTCGCCAAAAAAATGTGTTCCCAACCATCCTGTGGTGTTGGGTCCTCGTTTTGAAGAGACAGCGCCCCGCGTCCCACCTCCACCTTCCTCCTCCTCTCCTCCCCCTCCCTCCTCCCCCATCCTTGCCTTTGCTCTCCGCATGTCTCAGCTCACCCCCTCCTCCCATCATCATCATCATCATCATCATCATCATCATCATCATCATCATCATCATCATCATCATCATCATCATCATCATCATCATCATCATCATCATCATCATCACCATCATCATCATCATCATCATCATCATCATCATCACCATCATCATCATCATCATCATCATCATCATCATCATCATCATCATCATCATCATCATCATCGGAATCATCGGCATGGCCATGGTGGATTCGTTTCGTGGTCCCATAGGGAGCTCCACCGAAGGCCCCAGTGGGGGGGGCCGCATGCGTCCCCCACGCCCAGCACAGCGTTTTGTGGCCGCACAGGGAGCTCCACCGAAGGCCCCAGTGGGGAGGGGCCGCATGCGTCCCCCACGCTCAGGGCAGCGTTTCGTGGCCCCATAAGGAGCTCCACCGAAGGCCCCAGTGGGGGGGGGGGGGCCGCATGCGTCCCCCACGCCCAGCACAGCGTTCAGTGGCCGCACAGGGGAGCTCCAACCAAGGCCCCAGTGGGGGTGCCCGCATGCGTTCCCCACGCCCAGGACAACGTTTCGTGGCCCCATAGGGAGCTCCACCGAAGGCCCCAGTGGGGGTGCCCGCATGCGTCCCCCCCCCCCCCACACACACACACACACCACACACA